TGACTTACCCGTGTTTGAAATATATTTTGCTTGTCTCACATACCGAGTTCCGAGTGCCGGGACCCAACTCCTGAACCCCGAAATTGTGGACTGCCGGGTTTCGGGGTTCGGGGGTCCCGGAACTCGGAACTCGGAACTTGGGAAATTTGGGGAGATCAATAAAATATACTTTACAATCGAGTTGATTGACGGACACATTGACTTACCCGTGTATGAAATATATTGTTTGTCTCACATACCGAGTTCCGAGTTCCGGGACCCCCGAACTCCCGAAACCCGGCATGTGACTGCACAATTTTGGGGTTCGGGAGTTCGGGGTCCCGGCACTCGGAACTTGGTATGTGAGACAAACATATATTTCATACATGGGTAAGTCAATGTGTCCGTCAATCAACTCGATTGTAAAGTATATTTTATTGATCTCCCCAAATTTCCCAAGTTCCGAGTTCCGAGTTCCGGGACCCCCGAACCCCGAACCCCGAAACCCGGCAGTCCACAATTTCGAGGTTCGGGAGTTGGTAAAATGTGTATGGATAGATGAAAGGTTGATTTAAACATTTTTGAAAGATGTCCCATATGAAATGTCAAGTCCCAAGTTTTGATTTCCGGCTTTCTGGAGTCCCGAGTCCCGAAGCCCGAAGTCCCGACACCCGGAGTCCCGAAACCCGGAGTTCAAAATTCGGGACTTAACATTTCATATGGGACATCTTTCAAAAATGTTTAAATCAACCTTTCATCTGTCCATACACATTTTACCAACTCCCGAACCTCGAAATTGTGGACTGCCGGGTTTCGGGGTTCGGGGTTCGGGGGTCCCGGAACTCGGAACTCGGAACTTGGGAAATTTGGGGAGATCAATAAAATATACTTTACAATCGAGTTTATTGACGGACACATTGACTTACCCGTGTATGAAATATATTTTTGTCTCACATACCGAGTTCCGAGTTCCGGGACCCCCGAACCCCGAAACCCGACACCCGGCAGTCCACAATTTCGGGTTTCGGGGGTTGGTAAATCTCGGTTTGGGGTTTTGCACTGAAGAGTTGACATTTATACGTATCCAGGCTCACCCATATATGTACCCATCTATGTACAATTCCCCCACGTCAGCCCACCCATCTATGTATTATCCCCCACGTCAGCCCACCCGTCTATGTAATACATCCTATGTTGGCCCACCCGTCTATATAATACATACTACGTCGGCCCACCCGTCTATATAATTATACCCCACCTCGGCCCACCTGTCTATGTAATAAATATTTTATCACACCCTCGGCCCACCCGTCTATTTGATATCCCTTTCGTCGGCTCACCCGTATATGTAATACTTTTTATGTCGGCCCACCTGTATATGTAATACACCCCGCGTCAGCCCACCCATCTATGTAATATTCCCCTACCTCGGCCCACCCATATATGTAATACACCCCCGTCGGCCCACCCGTCTATATAACAATATTTGCCTTACATCTCTCTTCAGCCCAGCTGTCTATAATATCCTACTCTACATATTACCCTGATGGGCCCACCCATCTCCATGAATGATCATATTCCCCCGGCCCATCCGTCAACATCAAGGATATATATATCATTGGCATACATGGGCCCACCTGTCTCCATCGGAAATAATATGTGTCCCGGCCCATCCGTCATCATCGAGAATATACACAACATGGGCCCATAATCCGCTGGCCCGTCTCATACGGGATATTATGTAGGTCGGGTGGCCCGTATAATACGGAATTTGTCACTGAAGGGGCTCATCACACATCGATGAGCACTCAGTCGCTACTCCAGTGCTTGCAGGAATTGCAGGGTGTCCTGTCCCCTGTGATGGAGCTCTCACTCGCATCTATTGTCCGATTTGTTTTCCTTGCGACAAACCTTAAGAATGACATAGTCCTTGTTCAGCCAGGAGATTATGATCCTGGTTCTCCGCCTGCTAACCTATCACCGAGTATCATCCACTTTCTCTCTGCTAGCTGTCAAATTGTACTGGACGACGTGCCGGCTTTCTGGACAGCATTGAAAGACACTATCTGGCATGAGGAAAACTTTGGACTTTATGATACACTCCCTCTTTTCACGCAGTATGGGCAGAAATATGGTATCAGTGAGTCCTCTACTTGTCATCCTCTCGAGCCTGTGAACTTTACGGTGCTGCAGCCATGTCTCCTCTCTACCCACCACAGCAGACATGTTTCTCTCTTGGCTGCACCAACACGAAGAAGCTAATGAGAGCAGAGCAGCGCCCTGCAATCCTATACACACTCGATCGCGGCCCAATTGCTACGTACTCTGTACATCTCAAATGTGATGGTGCGCATCTACCATATCATCTATGACACTGACTCAAATTTTATAGCTTGTCATGTTGGGTTCCATCACCACTATTCGATCGACTATAGAGTCCCTGCACATGATCGCAAGCGGACTTATTATGCGCATCCACCGGATGCGCTCCATGTTGGCGGCCATCAATATGTTGATATAGCAGTTGTGTGGATGTGGAGAGTACTGAATCTTGTTTCATGGTGAGTGCTATCCATAGCATCGCTTCATGATTCAGTGTTTCTAACTTGACTTTGGCAGGACGTCCATGTCGAACTGCGCGCACTTCTATAATGTCTCCCTCTCAAAGGGTGCCGTGCCGCCACCTGACTTTCCTTTCAAGTTTGGCCTCTCGGGTGACCACGTCTGGAGCGGAGTTGTCCAACTCTCTCTCATCGAAGATTTACAACTTCGCGGTCAAGTGCTGGAGATCAAGCACGGAGGTGACCACAGGGACAGATTCACTGCACCGATACGTGCTCGCAACCTTCGCATCCACCTCTACGGCCAGGAGGAGCTCCGTCATTATTGTACCAAGTGCACTGTTCTCCACGACAACAACAACAATGGCGCTCCTGACCGAAAGTTTTCCGTTGTCATTACAGATGGGGTCACTGTAGGCCATCCATGTTGCGGCATTCATAATTGCCATGAACCCCTTGCCAATAATCGCGATAGATTCTGTCCTGACCATCTCCTAACACACCTCTGTATCTGTGCAATAGTGAACTGCGAGCGCAGTGTCACACCCTCGACTAGGACATGCGATGACCCCACACACCAGGCTATCAAGAAAGCGTACACCCAACGTGGCCAGGCACGCTTTCAGCTTCAGGAACGCCTTCAGCGTGCATATGTAGCCGTGCCCACAAACTCCAATACCAGTGATGTCGCGATTGCTGACCTTGAGGCTGATGATCCCTTGGAAGAGGAGTTTGAAGTCCCAGTTGTTGTTGGTGAGGGATCTGTGGAGACAGCAAAGCAAACTAAGCCAAGGAAACTTCGCGCAAAGTTTGGTCATAACCGTACCCACAATGAACAGTTGATCATTGCGCCATGTGGGATGATTCTCGCACGTGAGACATTTTATGGAGCAGAGGGTGTCACAAGTGTTGTGGTAAGGCAAATGCTTCTCACTCGCGATTGCAGACTAACTATGAGCGGATAGGAGATGATTAAGAGGGTATTTCGCGATGAGAGCATCAAGCCCAGCCACGTCTTTTACGACAACAATTGCACCTTGTCTTACCATGTTCGGAACGACCCTTACTTCAAAAGCATAGGCCTATCTGTCGATGTGTTTCATTTCCAGTGCAAGCATTCCATCGAAGATGCATGGTGTCAGGAACACTGCAACCCCGCCCACTTTGACGAGCTGCAGGATGTCAGCGGAAACTGGCTATTCAACTCCTCCATCGCAGAGCAGACAAATGTCTGGTTTGGGGGATATCACTCAATATGCCGCGAGATGCTCGTGGACAGATACGTCTTCTTCTTAGATGAGATGATCCTTCAGAAGAATCGGCTCACGAAAGCAAAGCTACATGCAGAGGGGAGACGCCCTGGCAACTGGCCACTAGTAGAGTAAACAATTTGTTACTTGTCTTTATCATGCTCTTCTACAATATATAACCAACATGTCTTCATCTAACACGTGTCCAGATACCAATAGTGCCAGCAACATTTCTAATTAACGACACCAATACCACTGCGAACGCCGCACCCAGTTTTGGCTAAGATAGTCTGGGTGGTATGGCCCAGGGAAGGGGTTATACACCGCATAGGTGTCACCCAGCGCACCCATCAACTCGTTGCTGCCTTGCCGGTCAAAGTTGCCCAGCGGCATGATTTCTTACCCCTCTTATGGAGGAGACAGTATTCATAATATTATATTGTAGGTGTAGCTAGCTATATTTTCTTTGTTAACGCGATTACTTTCCTTGGGCCGCTTAGAGGGGGCCAGCGCGCCCCCAAAACTGTTCGTGTTAAGAGTTCGGCCTCAGAGGTAAGTTAGCTATACCTATACCACAGGGTATTGAAAATGTTTTCTTCGGTTAACAAAGAAAACATTTTCAATACCCTACAGTATAGGTGTAACTAACTTACCTCTGAGGCAGAACTCTTAACACGAACAGTTTTGGGGGCGTGCTGGCCCCCTCTACCCCAGAGATATTAAGTTAGCTACACCTATACTGGAGGGTATTGAAAATGTTTTCTTTGTTAACCGAAGAAAACATTTTCAATACCCTGTGGTATAGGTATAGCTAACTTAATATCTCTGGGGTAGAGGGGGCGCGCTGGCCCCCTCTAAGCGGCTCAAGGAAACTATAAGAGGAGTAAGAAATCGCGCTGCTAGGTAGCTCTGACATGCTGTTCTACAATATATAATCTTATGAATGCTCTCTCTCCTCCATAAGAGGAGTAAGAAACTGTGCCGTGTTTGCACTGGTGCCGGCGTTGTTATTAGAAATGTTGCTGGCATTATTGGTATTTGGAGACATGTTAGATGAAGACGCGTTAGAACCCACAAAGCTTCAATTGATAGTGTAACGACGAGTACATCCACAAGTTATTGACAATACCAGTAAGGGAACCATAAGATGGTGACAACAGCACAACGAATGAAAAGGAATAAGAAAACAGACATAGAATAGTGCCTGTGTTCACCCTCGCAGTCTTCCAAGGCGCTTCTTGGCGGCCTTCACATCTGCGCCAGGCAATGGATTTGCCTTCATGAATGCTGAATATGAGCCTGCATCACTCTTGCCTGCTCGTATAAACATGGTTCTTGAAGATGCCGGTGCTTGGTCCCATTGTTTCCGATGCTCTGAGAAGGTCGAGGGACGGAAGTGTACACCCCCTCCGAATGCCAGTGAGAATGCAGCGTGAGAACACAGTCCGACTCTGCGGGATTTGTCGTATTTCTTGAAGCCATCTGCGATTTCACACGCATAGAAGCTGGTAGGCCAGCGCCTGACATTGTCAAAGGCATCAACATCAACAGCATCCTCAGGAGAGTGACCTGAAGACAGTGATGAACACTCAGATACAGTAGAGGGGTCGCTCAGGCTGCCGCTGTCCGATGATGCACTGTGGCTACTGTCCGACGACAGTGAACGATGTCGACTTGGATGTGGCACATGTTGACGGGGAGTGATGTTGACGTCGACCTCGGAGCCAGAATTGGAAAATAGCTCAATCACATCCTGCAAATTAGCGTCCACAGCGTGTTCATGTTTTATTGCCAGTGGAGGCGAGTTTGGTATTGAGAATGACTGACGTGGTGTCAGAAGCGTGCGCTCATGTTTGATGATCAATGCAGGCGAGTATGGACGAACAGCTGAGGAGCCAGCAGTGTTTGTGCGCACACGGCGAGCATTGCCTCGCAGTGAGTGACCTGAATGCTTATGCTTCCGCATATCTTCTGGATCCTCTGAATCAGAGGCTGCGATGCTAGCAGCCCTAAGCTGTGTGCGTGTGTTGGACAGACGAACGGCAGCGCGCTCAGCTTTGAGATTGGTGCGAATATTGGGAACAACATGAAGAGAGTTGCTTTCGAAGATGTTGTCGAACTCGGGAGTGATTGTAACACCTATGGTCCGCATGTACACTTGACGGCTGTCGAGCATGAGCGTGTGCCCTTGCTGGACTGTCGACCATCGGCTCCTCGACGCATTGAAGTATTGGACTTGAGCCTCTGCGTCGTCTCCAGAGCACAGCCCAAGCGCGCGAAGTACTTGTGCAGTCACCTTGAATTGCGGCAGGGTGATGCCTTCTTGAAATTCGCACATGGTCACCTCTGCACCGTCCTAAAGCTGCTCTTAAGACACGTAACAGAAACCCATACTTCGGAAAACACACCTTTGACCATCCATAGACTTCCACAGTATTCTTCATGCGATGCTCGAGATTACGCTGCTCGGCAGCTTGGTGCACCATTGCCTTCAACTGCTGTTCTTGTTCAGCATAGCGCTGAGTGAAAACAGGTGGGAGTTGCGATGGGTAACGAGGGTTGGCATGTATGTCAACCTCTGATGGAGGCAGTGCCCGATCTTTACCCTTGTTTGAGGGGTATGAACGTCCCTCTGAAGAAGCGTGGGCAATGGCGGGAGTAGGCACCTGTGAAGGGGTATAGGTGGCACCAGAAGAAGTAGGCAGCTGTGAAGGGGTGTGGGCGACAGCGGAAGAAGTATGCGCCTGCACGTTGAGTGAGATCGTGGGGCTAGGAGCAGGGGCCGAGTGTACTGCTGAAGGGCCAGCCTTGGCAGGCTGGGATGGTGGCACTCGAAGGACAGGGTCAATTGCCATGTTTCGCTGACTTTCGGCAGGGGTGGGCTTGTGGGTCTTCGAAGAACACCCACCAAAGGCAACACAATGCTTGCGACAACACAAGTTTTCGCAATCTGGTGCAATCCGTGTGAACTTACATCCAGGTACAGTGCACAGGCGTGGTTGAGAGGACGCGTCACCAACTGGCGGTGGTGGTGGTGGTCCAGGCTGGGTTGGCATAGGCTGGGTTGGCATAGCAGTACTGTGAGGAAGGACTGGTGATTGTGTGGGGGACGATCTGGGTGAGCCCCAGCGGAAGTACTGGCATGATTGGTTGTCTGAGGAGCGTTTACGTCGGCACTGAATTCTCAGTAGTTAGCGCGATGAAACTATAGACATGAATAGATATACATACTACCGCATACCAACGACCTTGATTGCCCTTTGAATTGTCTTTGCAAACCTGCCATTCGGCAGGTTCGGAACATGATTGACATATAGCGACCCATTCGGGCCGGATGAAGGGTGTTGTAGGAGGAACAGACAACATGAATACTATTGCAGCGTGATACAAAGAACTAATAGAGGGAGCATGTTGAAGGTAAGCATTTAGAGTTGTACACTGAATGAAGTCCGTCAGCACCAGTGCACCATGGAGCAAAGACCAGTGCAACTTACATGGTGCCAATACATACCGCTTATTAATATGCGGGGCGGGTGAGGAGAATGGGTATTGATGGCGCTAATAACTGGCGGGATGGAGGTAAGGACAAAGTGTCATAGTAGTCATGTCACAGACTTTGTCTATTACTAATCATGGGAAAGAATTCGGCATGAACACGAATGGGGCGAACCGGGGCGAAAAGTCGAAGACTGAGACTTTCTGGGGTGACCGGACCTCTGTCGATGCTCACTTATTTGAGAATCAGAGTCAAGCCGTTGCTCCAGACCGTGAATCCTGGAATTATTCATCATCCGAACCAGTGTTTCATCCATCTGGTCAAGCCTTCTATGCATAGGCTCAATGAGATGCGAAATGACATGATTTCCACCTGTCCCAGCTGTGGCTGCACTGCATAGCTTGTGTAGATACAGCTAGTGTTGCCGCGGCGCCGGCTTCGAGCCCGGCTTTAGCCGAAACCGAAATGCGGCTGGCCAAGCCATTACATAGGTACAGCTTACATATTCAAGGGCTCGGCTCGGCCAATTTAGCCGCGGCTGGCGGCTCAAGCCAGCTGGCAGCCACATATAGTTTAAAATTTTGTTTATAAGCAATAGGCCTTGGACATGGTTCCTTGACAGCGGCTCACTCACGCTTCCCATTGACAAAATCTATCGCAATGAACCAGACTGCCTGGGATGATAGCAAACTGTGTGGCAAACAAATATTAGCTTCAAAAGTATTGACCTGCCTTGTTCGCCTGAACTTACCGCAATAGCTTTGACCACTGCAACGACTCTAGAAGATAAGAAGCGAGCTGAATACCATCATCCATGTCTATCAGGCAAGAGACTTACAAAGTCAGTAGACAACGATTGATGGAGTATATGATCAATGTATTGACGAGCGTGTTAGTCCTAATGGTCAATATCAATCTCAGTGACACCAAAAATGTGGGATTAAGACCTACTCAATAGCACAATGAGCACGCAGGATATGAACATTCTTTTGCGTATGAGATCAGCTTCAGGTCGTAAGTCCAGACTCCTCCGGAAAGGTGCCGGATGTTGACTGCCCAGTCAGAAAGACGCATTCGAGAATTGAGAGCAGAAATGAGTCAACAATTGGAGTTAGTCTAAAAAAACAATGCCTCGAGGAGCAAGATGCTAGGATATGTATAGGTAGTAGTAGACAAGAAGCAAAAGTGAGTGAGAATCGAGTATGAAAAGTAAGCGTCAATGATCATACAACAGCAGCAACATCCGGAATGTCATCGCATTCTTGCTCCGCAATGATTCTGAGAAGGGCCTCATATTCGGGAGTTTCAGGAGTGAATTCACCGATGGCAGAGTTCAAAAGATCACCGGAGCCAAACGTCGAAGATCACCAGAGTTCATGGCACATATCAAGTCATACTCCATGTCTTTCTGCGAGGGTTGCCAACCTTCGGTAAAGTTAAGTCGCTCTTTCTTCAGCGCAAACTTGACCATCTGTAAGGCCTCCATCAGGGGCGTGCTAATGCGATTTCATTTCTTTGTGTATGTCTCACTGCTGGATGAAAAGATGCGTTCGCAGGGAACAGCAGAGGCCTGTATGGGAAGATAGTCCATCGCGATTGAATAGATGGTCGGAAATATAGGTTGTGCAGTCTGATCGACACTTCGTGATTAGTGAAACTTAATTGAGACACAAGACTCTTACCGTCCAAAATGCAAGTAAATTCATTCCCCGTGGGCTGCGGACAGCTGTGCTGTAGGCACTAAATTCCTGTTCCACCGTTTGGGTGCCACCCTCGTTATGCGGCAGTATATCTACGTCATGAAGTCCGTAGATCGTTGAACCTAGCGTTGCAGCAGTGCGTGACTGGCGTTCCATGGGTAGAGACTGTGCAGAGTCGGAGGTATCTGTCACTCTTTTCTTTCGCATCTACAGCATATCAATTCAAACTTGCACTTTTATCGTTAAAATTTGACAAATAGATGTACCAGTTCGAGAATATAATCCCTGGTCTCATTGACTCGAGCCATGTCCCAATTATCATTCATCCATGACATACAAATTGCAGGATCAATAACTGTACAAACGCACATGAGAATCAGTGTTCATTAAAAAAATGCGCGGGACTAACACATGGCAACTCCATATGCTCCCGTGCGGCTCATCCGGTCGTGGTACTTATCAGTCCAAGTTAAGCCAATGGCAACAAAAGGTGCCAAGTGCACGAAGCGCTGTGCCAAGTCCTTCCACTCTTTGACTAACCTTTCGAAGGCTGGAATGGCACAACTCAGCACAGGAGTGCTCTTGCTGGACATGCTTTGCTGAACAGCATGCGGTGCCTTACATAAAATGGTAAATACATCTCAGTTTCGGACATATTAAGACTGACCTCTAGGACCACCTCAAGATCTTGCAAGATTTGCCATTCCACTGGCTCTAATTTGAGATGGGATATAGTCCTTTGATCATCGTCGTCAAGGAAGTCGTCAACAGCCTAGGCCACTGTTTAGTCTATGCCAAGGATTATAAAATGAGACCCTACCTGCCAAAGTGTTCTTAAGCGATTAAGCATGATGTAAGTCAAATCCCAGCGTGTGGGCTCATCACACAGCAGTTCAACAACTGGGAGCACTATCTCCTCGTTATTGTCGTTTCGGAAAATCTTCGCATCGTTGCCCAAGCAAATGCTGTCTCTGAAACTATCGCGTCGTTTGTTTGACACGCGGATTGCACGCACAACAGCTCTGGCCCGACAGATAGCATCACCTCGCAGAGCCGTGATATACACTACCTTGTTGAAAGAGGCATTGCCGACTACAAAAGGACCGGCCACATTTGAAAGGTCCACGGTAGAATGCTCGTCCATGACGTGCTGCACACATATATTGATTATGTGAGGGAAGCATGGGATCCTGTGATCAACAGCATCGAATTCAATCCCTTGTCGCAGCAATTGGCGAGAAAGCTCTTCCATTGCAGCCTGGTTATTGGAAGCATTGTCGAGTGTGAAGTGTCCCATCTAAACCAAGTCAGAGCATGTCACATAGCACAAACAAACACTGACATTATTTATCACACCGGCATGCCTGACCAGATTGAATATTGTTGACCCAAGCGCCTTCCCTGTATGACTACCCGGGGTGTGATGAAAAGCGATTAGAGCGCCCTTCAAGACGAGTGCTGAATTGGCACTTTCCCATGCAAGCCAATGGGCGGTAAGTGCCAGGAAGGGGCGGAGCTTACGATCTGACCAGAGGTCAGACGTGAACGAGATTTTTCCTTGGGCTTTCTACAGGACATAAGATACTATGTGATATCAGCAGCTAAACACTTACTGCAAGGTCATGTTTCATGACTGGGAAGTAGTCGCGCCATGCATCTATGATCAATGAATGAAATTTTGTGCGGCGAGGAATATCCGACTCCTTTAGATCTTGACGTATGAGACGGAGCAGTCGGCGAAACTCCGGGCACTCGACAACATTAATTGGCTAGAGACAGCCATTAATAATGTTGCATGAAAAATAGATAGTACTCACCTGGTCGTCAGCTATGATGAATCTAACAATATGTCGGTGCATCTCATCGACGGAAAAGTCCGGCAAAACAGCTTCTGACTGCATGGGCAGCGAATCGTTGCGTACAGGATTGGGGGGAACACCAAGTGTTTCAATTGTACAGTCTGGGTCCTGGCTAAGCCTTTCGTGTATCTGTGGGATGGTCCAACCCTCATCGAGTCAGAATTGTACCTCATCGATCAAAATTGGCCAGGCCACTGGGCCCCGGCGCTCACATTCTGCTAGATAAAGGTCCATATGATGGACATGGACGTGGGTGCGAAGAGTACCTGTGGTCGAACTAGCAGCATATAGCTGGATTTTCCATGAAGAGTCTTGCTTATGTATATCCCTGTTGGAGGAGTGAGATTAAAAAATACTCCCAGATGTGATACTTACTCGCAAGGGACACAGGTACGTTTATGCGATGCCTCCATCCTATAGAAGTGGGGGATGTCAACAACCGCCCCCCCTTTTGTTTTCTTCTTCCATCGTGTGTGGCCAAGGGATCAAATAAGGTCGTGGTCAAGGGATTGGTTGGGGTCATGGCCAAGGGATCAGTTGGGGCAGGATTGAGGGCACCGATGTTGGTCTGAAGTGGGCTAGAGGCTGTATTGGGTGCGACTATTATAGGAGCACCATCCTCCTCATCGTCGCCGCTGATTTCATTAATGTCGAAGAATTCAGTATCACCATCTTCATATCTTCTAGGACACTATCATTCTCGTCGAGGGCGTTGGAGGGCAGTGGAAGTTGCTGCAGTGGTATTGATGGTTGCTGCAGCAGCGGGAGTAGTAGCAGGATTGAGAGTAGCAGTGGGGGCGTCAACATGGGTAGCATTGGCATTTTTCGATGTCTGTCACGACGGTTGTTCATATTAGTGATGGTAGCGCTATAGATGCAACAAACAAATCACCTGTTTATATAGAAAACTTCATCCTGGGGAGACCCTGGAAAATCCCAATGTGCATGGTGGGGAAACACCAGTTAGACCTAGACTTGAACTCCGATCATTAGGGTTGCAGGATCTGATCACAATAGTGTTAATGGCAATACACAAACAGGACAACGGAATGCATGCCAGTACGTACTATAAGACTTCGAAGCGATCCCAATCGTTCACAAAATCATCCAGTGCTGGGTGAAAGGGAGATTGCGGCACGTTGGCGAGAGGTCCCTGGGCCACGCTGCACGTCAGTCTCGAACCACGTCATAGCCTCAAATGTAGGTGCATGGTAAGGGGGGACCTCCATGAGTAGAAATCGACTACCACATTACAATGGGGTGAATTCCTGCTGGGACAGATTCGAGACCAGGGGTGAGTGGAGATGGAGTATGACATGAGGCACTCACTTGTATGGCTGGCATCTGCAATCTTGTGAAAAGAATAGCGGTGACATGGTACACAGCAAGGCTGTAGCAAGTTGGCACCCTGTTGCGATTAAAACCTGTTCAATTAGTGCTTCAAATCGTAAAATGTACATACATCCATTTAAAATGAAATGCTGTTGGAGTCACTGGACGGACATAATGATGACGGTACAAGCACAGAGTAGAAAGCTGACTAATGTGACAAACGATGAGTGATGTAGGGAACACTGATAACCAGGTATTCAAATATTCAAAGTCTACTACTGTTTACAACTAAAGCGGCCGGGAACAGGCCTTTGGTAGCATGCCGCGCGGGAACAGCGCGCCTCTAAAAGGCCAGAACAAGTACTTGCACGACGACGCTCGACCTCATTCAATCGCTAGCTTTCAGCATGTCCATTGAATATTTGAATAGCAGAAAATTTGAGACCCCGGGCCAGAATAGCTAATTTGAGACTCAGAATTCGAATGGGGTGGCAGGGCAGCTTCCAGAAGCCTCAATATTCAAGAATTGAGGGTCCGAACCAAAGCAGAAGATCTCATCAACAGCCAACATCTCTCGAATTCGAGCCTTCCCCCATTTGATGAGGTCACCACCTTTGCTGCAGCCCATATCAAGGACTTTTCCGCGTTTTTTGGGTGAATTAGAGGTGAGGGCTGGATGCCTGAATTGCATAATCAGGACCGATTTCACCCAGTTGTTGAAATTCTTGAGGCCGATGATAGGAGACTCTTTGCGCTGTTTTACGCCTACTTCTGGACGCAAATTGTCTGGGAAGACGCGTTAATGGTAGGTTAAGCGGCGGGAAGACACTTACAGTGATCAACGACCATTTCGACGTTGCCAGCGTGTCTCTTGGCTGGACGCTCTTGATAGTCGTCGGGTTCTCTACTTTGGACTCTCTTGCGTTTGTTCATGAGATGTTGGGTACCGATACCGCGGTAATTTTTGTAGAGCTGTATTTCATCCTGTGTCATGGGAGCGAGGATGGAGCCTGTGGGAGTCAAGCGCTGTCGTGGGTTGTAGGGCAGCGTCTGACGCATCTTGTTGGTGTCGCCGTCGTGGAGGACATTATTTCGAATGGTGTTGGTGCCATTGGGGAGCGAGTTAAGGGGGATGTTGGAAGAGTACGAGAGGTCGATGAAGGTACATCAGAAAGAAAGGGGGAAGATGAGTTGAGTGAGAGTGAAGAACGTGAAGGGTGCTGCCGTGAGAACGAGGGATCTTGTTCACGGGGGATGTCGATGGCCGTGGGAAATCTCCGTCCCAATGACGGTGCAGAGTTCAGCTTTTCTGATTCAAAGTCATCAGAAAGTAATAGATGGGAGAGACTTGAAGGTCATGCAGAGCTTGGAGTTCTTGGTTCGTGCGGTTCAGAGTTTAATAATGAAGCCAGATCTGTTGCCCTACATGTCAAAGAAGGGCTAGACGTCGTGTGCGATGATGAAGGACGTGAGGATGATGGGGACGGTATTTCGAGTGGACCATAATCACTGTGATTTGGAAGTGATTGTGGCTGAGTGACTGGTGAATTCATGACAGCATCTCATACTGGATCAAACACTGGCATGGCTAATTATGACCTTCACCGCCTCCTCCGAGTGAGGCAGATACCTCACCACCAGGTTCGCCTCAGCCCTATCCATCATCATGTTCAGTTCAAAGGTAACCAAAACAAAAGCAGAACTCACTCCTTTGGCATGTCAATAGAACTGCGAAGCTGTGTGAACGTATCATATGTATATTTGATAAACTGGTATCTGTCTGTCATGGGCAAGCGTCAGCGGCGGTCCTAGCCCAGTGGAATGTAAATCTCACAGCCTGACTCGCCAACTCCTGTAAATGGCAGTTCACTCACTGGCAGATAAATGTGGGTGAGTGTCAATTCAAGCATGACATCAATCACATACCAGCGAGCTGTTGGAGGGTGTCATTGAAAACAATACCACCGCTATGTGTTTCCGAGACAACTGTTGTAGAAAATTTGATTGTAATTGTTAGCATGAACTGCCGTCATCGGCCAAGTGAAACATATGTCATTGCTTCACACTCTCGTTGTCACTAAAAGCATACAGAACTAGTGGATGAGATCTTGGTGCGACAAATCTGTCAACGATGCATTGACAAAGTTAACTGCCTGATCGAGCGAATCCACGGGCACGATAGGCAATATCGGACCAAAGAGTTCTCTATGGATACCATGCTATCAGAATCACATTTCTAACACAGGGGAATACTGACTCCTCTAGCAAGGAATCGCCACCCGCAACATTCTTGACAATGGTGAGCTCGAGTCTTTTCCTCGCAGCGTCAGCGCGACCCTTAAGAACCATTTCACCCTTTGTGCGGGAAAGAAGTGAAGTGAGGCGTTTATAGTGCGAATCTGACACGATACTTCCAAACGATGGCGAATCTAGCGCACCCTTTGAGAAGAATGCGTTATAATGCTTTTGAAACGCCTTGACCAGCTCATCCTGCTTGTCCCGTTGTACGAGGACATAATCAGGTGCCACGCAGATCTGTCAGAATTCCACTTCAGTACGCCGCATCGGGGAGTAGCTCGAAATTGGACCTCACCTGTCCTGCATTGTGACACTTGCCCCACAATATCCTCTTTGCAGCAAGATCAATATTGTATGCTGAGTCGATAATGACAGGACTCTTTCCACCTAATTCCAGTGTCATTGGCGTCAGGTGCTTAGCCGCAGCACTGGCGATGATTCTAGCGACTTTGCCATTCCCTGTGTAGAAAATGTGGTCCCATTGAAGCTCCAGAAGCTTTGTAGTTTCAGGTATAACACCATTAACGACACGGTACGCATTTGGGTCGAGGTACTTTGGCACAATTTCCTCCAAGAGCTGTGAGAAGGTGGGAACAAGCTCAGAGGGCTTTAGTATGACAGTGCAGCCGGCTGCGATTGCTCCAGTGAGAGGTTGGAAAGAGAGCATCATAGGGAAGTTCCATGGTCTGTTTAAGCGAGATGTCAGGAAGTGGAATTGAGACAGTATCTTCCGTCTTACGAGATTATCAACACAGTGCCCTTCGGAGCTTTGTATATCCTGGAACATGTACATATGATTATCAGTTATATTGATGGATCATCCTATCACTCACGTTGGGTTCCATGGCTTCTGCCAATCAATCACCTCAGGATGTTCAGCCTTGACCCACTCTGGGAGCCGCTCTGCACTCTTCAGAGCTCTTTTGATGACGCTGCCCAGTTCATTCGCCAGGACCTCTGTTTTTGGCTTTCCGAGGTCTTTCTGTAGGGCGTTGCAAATGAGCTCCCGTTCATTCTGCGCCATGTGTGCAAGCTGGTATAGCTGGTGCTGACGCCACGGTATGGAATGTGTCAATCCACTATGGAAGGTCGCTCGAAGAGCATCTCTGATCTTCACCACTGGTTTAGATCATACGACGAGTGCTGAACAGATAGCACTTACCTTTGGGATGGTAGCAATTGTCGACATATTTGAGTCGCAGGATGAAGTGAAAGTCAAGTTCAAGTTACAAGCCCCAACTGGAAAAAGGCTAGCAGCTTAAAAACGACATGTTTCATTCAGGTCAAGGACAAACAGCCGGTCGACGGGAAATGAGACTACCGGTCATGATAGCATACTTAGTCAAAGACTCGGAAGAACTTGAACTAGTAAGTCCTGGCTGCGGTAAGGCCGCCAGTACTTTCAACGCAGCATAGGTATTAGTTAAATCTCTCTTCGTGAAACTGTAAATTTGACATGTTAGCCACGCCAAATCTCGGTTGAAGTGCTCACGATGTAGGTCAAGCTTGTAGGACGCTGCACCAATTGTCTGTCGATGCAATTAGATCATTGGTGATAACCTCGTGCTCCCACCAAGTTGACACCAAAGTGGTGATATTCCGAGCAATACTGTCCCATACAAGGACTGGAAGATGTTGTAGTCAACAAGTTCATCAAATTCGTGCCCAATTGAAGTGTAGGACACTCACACTCCTTTTCATCATGTAAAATGTCGACGATGGTCAATGCACTGCTAACTTTACAAAACCCAGCCTTTGACAATGTCTTCTTGAGGTAGATCGAAACACCCTTGAGGAAGCGCTCCTCGCCAACAAAGTTGGATAGCATGCGCAAAACTTGAAAGCGTCACTCGTGAGATGGGATGGTGACAAAAAAAAATTGATTGCCTTACCAGAGCCTGCTTTAGCATAGGAAAGGGAGTCGAAAATCTGATGGTCACTTGTATGAGATGGCCGCACTCCATGTGGTATGCCAATCTAGTCATACCTGGTTGATCTGGTTGGCATCAGGACAATGCACTTCGATCAGGTGAGAAGACAATTTGGCATCAAGATCCAGCACATCATTCAAATGCTCGGATTACCGACTTAAAGATTGGCGTCAATGGGTTCAGTGAGTGCATGGATGCGAGACATACCAACAATGATAACTTCACCCATCTCAGAGGCGCAACAGGTGGACAGAAGAATACAGCATTTTTCGCCCCAGGACGAAAAATGACGGCATGGGACATAAGCATGATGACAGATAAGAAAAGAAGCGGAGAAGGTGAAGGGTACAGGGATGCCCGGAGTATATTGAGCCGACTTATGGATTCAGAGGTCTAGAAACGATGTTCATACATTGATGTACATCACTCCATCATGATGCAAGCTTTTATGTAGTATATTATATACATATGTACGTACAGATACCACAAGAGCGCTCAACAAATCGAAAACTATACATCTATCATACTATGCAGTTAGTTTCTTTTTCTGATGTGGGGCAGAAGTAGTTGAAGGTGGTAGGGGACCATTATGCGGGCGTAAACTTGTAATTAGTTCATGACTCGTGAGTGCGTGAAGATCATAAAAAAACTATGTACTCACACACGAGTTGATTTGCAAACAGGTGTTGCTTTCGGCAGGCACAGCGACGCTGCCTCAGCCACCAAGTGAATGTTGGAGGTTGGAGAATGTATAACGGGGTCATTGGGCTGGATGAAATCCAGAAAGCACGTTTCTGTGGTGCGAAGACCGTGAAGCAATGAGCGGAGATAGTCATAGTCAGGGTCTTCTGAGAATGAGAGGGACCGCGAGTAGACGAGAAGGTTTGCGAATTCAGAAGGAACACCATCACATAAAACTGTGATGGTGGTGTCCACTTTGCGCTCGAGTATGTCAGAGCTGGAGAGCTTCTCGTGGCTGCTAGTTAGCCATGGAAGGGTGCCACGCATGAAATAAATCAACATATACGATAGAGACTCGAGGTCGTCACGACAACCCGGCTCCAAGCCCAAGTGGTTGTTGATTGAAGCAAATGCGGGCGTGCCTGTGAGACGTCGACCCTGGCGAAATGGTATATGTGTTTCAGTTGCAGCATTCCAGTATTTCTTTGCAATACCGAAATTGACGACAAAGAGAGTTTGGCTCAAATCGCCAAGGCCCAGCAAAACATTCTGCGGTTTGATATCGCCGTGAATGTAGTTGTATGAGTGGATGTGTTCAAGGCGTGAAAGCTGGGAAAATATGTTAGCATCTGCGATGACCCACTCAAAGCAACATACCAGCTGTTCTCCGAGGTTAACAACAGTGTGAAGGTTGAATTTTCGATCATGTGCCTTGAAGAGATCGTGCAACGATGGTCCAAGGAGTTCAAGAGCCAAGGCATGATACGTTGACTCTCTACCAAACCAAATGGCACAGGGGATCCCAACTCCATCTTCGAGTCGTTTCAGAATGTGGTATTTGCGCTCCACAGAAGACGGGTGAGAGGTGAGAGGTTCAAGTTTGATGGCAACTAGATCATCATTAAAGAAGTTCTGCGCATGGTATACAACAGCTAGTAAGTGAGGCTTAGCGAGTTTATATCTTGAATATCAACATCATGTAACGACGTACCATATGACCCAGATCCAAGAATATCTTCCAGCCGAAATCTACCATCAACCCGAGTTGGGACTTTATTCATGCTGTGATAGGTAAGGACAATTACAATATATTCAACAACAGATGGTTGAAGGATAGTTTAGGGTACACACGTGCACTGTGTAGGCTGTAGCAAATGGTTCCTTGAGAAATAAGGTACAAACACTGGTCAGCAATGACATCATTGGTGATGAAAACACCCCAAGTTGGCTTGAGCCGGCTCATGCGGTTAGTCAGCCGGACCGAGCTGGACATAGGTAGCTTAGCTCACCCCAGGAGTGCTGAGCTACATGCAAACCGGCAAAAGCCGAGCCCAAGCCGAGCCGAGCTGAGCTGTGGCATCACTAGATACAGCTGCGCTTTCGCGAGGTCGCCGACAGTGGCCATGCAGTAGTCCCGGAGCAGTTTTCTCTTGAATGCTATGGACATTTTTATGTATTTAGTAGCTCAGGCCGCTACAGCGGAACACAACTTGCAGGGGGGGCCAAAAAACTCCTTTACCTTCTCAAGGAGGAAAATTGCGTCTACGATGTCTTGACTGGTTGGTGGATCTGAAGGAGGCCACAATGGCCGCTTGATTTGAGATAACGACTCTGAGAAGAGTGGTACCTGGATCAACATTGTTAGGCTTGTCTTGAAGGTTAGGCCGGTTAGGAGTAAGTTATAAATCACATACATACTACCTCCTATCCGCATAGGAGTAAATGGTCCTGCTCATCAAAGCGCAGCTCAAACGTCACATCATCAAATACTTCAAGGGACGAAGAGTCTAAAGGTGTTTACAGCGAGCGCGGGAACAACGAGGAGTCTAGAACGACAAAAGATCTCAGTGTCTTGGACGAAACTCTATTAACGGTGTGTCTACCTAGAACGACAAAAGCTACAGCTAACGTTAGACATGATAAAACTCTAGGTGACTTTTTAGAACGTACATCTCAGTGTCTTGGACGAAACTGAGATGCGTATACGATACTGCTACTGGTCTTATAGTGAGTGCGTCAGGAACTCAAATATATGAAAGAGAGACTGAAAATATTCTAGGGCGCGAGCCGATGTCATGCATCGCTCGCCTATGTCCGTTTCGGCTTGAGCTCGTACCTATCTCGGATCCTTCGGCTTCCCTTGACTCGGATCTTTCGGCCTCGGACTCCAACAGAGTCTAGTTTGAGTCTAGTAATCATCAAAGCTGTTGATTGACATAGGAGCGGACGTGACATGCGGTGACATGCTGGTGTCAATACCCTGCATTAGCTCACAAAAGGCCCAAATCATATCATTCCACATAGTAGTATTCAACTTCCTGATTCCAGAAGATTCAATAGTACGAGAGAAAGACATGTACTCACCAGCTTCTCCTCGTCACTGACTCGCATCTTCCAGAATCCGGTCCCCCCTTCACACCCTCCACAGTGGCCGTCGACGGTGAGGCACGCTTTGCCAAAGATGACGAGGATAAAAAGCCTGCCAGCACAAATGATTTATTGGTGTCAGTGTAGGTGATACAGATAAATAAGCCACAAACTTGTGTTTTCGCATATCTTCTGTATGCAGAGCGCTGATCTTTGGGTAAACGTAGGCATATACTGCACGTTGGGTCGCACCCAAAGGTGACTGTCTCTTCATCGATTGGAAATTCTGCTACCTACCTATCAGTCATCTGTTTCATCTGCTGTAGTGTACCAAACAGTCTATCTCACTGTCATCCATGGTGATGAGCACGTTCAACATGCAAGACTGGGGCATTGCAATTTGCAAGTTTGTTCGGTTCGAAGCATCCGCCGTCATGTCACACATGTAAGTCATGTGAGTCGCGAAGTTGGGTTACCTAGCCTGAGATCCATCGTCGACTACAGGAATATTTGCTGCATTATTGTGAAAGTATGAGGTGTATAACAGGTACCGCGATCAACAACTATAAGTGCGGCACCAAACTAATCCACGACACCGCCTGGTATGCGTCAGCAGGAAGATGGCGTAAAGTGGTGAACATGAGTACCAAGAGGATAGCACGAGCTGCAATGTATAATGGAATCGATACCAATAAAATCGGCAATTTTATAAATGCCAGAGCCACTGAATCAAATGTGAAAATCGCAAAAAGAAAAAGCCAGGGCGTGCCAGTTATAGCGAGGGCACATATGCGCCATAGGAGCTGTTCCTGATGCGTGATGAAGGTAGAAAACCAAGCCAGACAATGGATGCCACCAAATATGGTTGCCATACTCAATGCAGCAAGTTGAACAACTGTTAAGACCATGCACAAAGGGTAGGACTGATTCCGAGGGGCTTGGCTTCAGCTCGTGCGCTGCGCCCCTTACCCGAGTATGTGCCCTTAATTTCAGAATGATGTCCGAAGGACGTCCGAAGCGCGGGAAAGTTCGGAAGGACTTTCCGGACGAGTGCAAGTAACTTCCGGACGAGTGCGGGAAAGTTCCGGAGGAACTTCCGGAAATTACGATGAGGTTTTGTCCTGATACGGATACATGTAATGGCTACTTAGGACAAGTCCTAAGTAGAAGTAAACAGAGGAAAGGCTGCAAGGACAAAGTCCAAAGCAGAATAGGTCCGGAGGACCGCGGGAAAGTTTCGGACGAATGTCCGGAACCTTCGGAGGATCGGATGAGCAGATAAGCAGATAAGCAGATAAGCGGATAAGCGGATAAGCGGAGCTCTGGCCTAGGGAATTTTTCCCTAGGCCCGAGATGGATATTGACTAAGTCGATAGACTAGAACTGATGTGAGGACTTAGAGTGAGATCTAGTGCGAGGACTAATATGATATTCAGACTGAGGAACTACAGGACATATACAAGAGTTTATATACTAAGGAAATAACGGAAAGATCAGTAAGCAAGTGTCTGAGGCTATGTATGAAGCATAAGCAAAGTTATCAAGCGCAAGTCGGAAATGAAGCATAGGTTAACGGATCAGTAAGCATACCGGTAGTAAGTATAACCGAGATACCAAGGACAAGGAATACCGAATAGAGGAATAGGCTGTGTTAACGTTATATGCACAGGAATTGAATTAGGAAGCTTATCGTATATCGGATCGGATCGGATCGGATCGGATCGGACCGGATCGGACCGGACGTCCGGATGAGACGCATGGATATATGGGATATGACATTAGGGTGATGGGACAGAGGATGACTGATGCAGGCTAGCTGAGGTATGGAGGTAAAGGGATGTGGATGTGGATGTGGATGTGCAGAGGTGCAGGGATCCGGATGGATAGAGGACTGGAGACATGGATAGGGCGTCCGAAGGTCCGGATGAGGCATGGGAATATTGTCGGATGTAAGTCCGGAATATGGGATATGACAACAACCATGTCCGAACGTCCGATGTTATGATTGATTTCATATATTGAATGTCGGAGCATTGGGTATGCCATGCGGTTCTTAAACAAGCCTATTAGTTTTCTGATTAGGCTGGAGGCTGGAAAAAAGATCCCATGCCACATGGGTTCGTCTCTGCCACTGAGACTAAGGCAGACATAATTAGCAGCGGTATAATTGTTCAGGCGCATACATACCCACTATAACGCTCTGGCATTGGCTCTGTTGACTTCCAGTACACTGGATATGGAAATTGCATGTTGAGAGGCTTGTCCCACCACACAGCATAGGTCAAGAAATTGAGAACCGCAAAAGCTAGTGTCCCAATTTTGAGCTGGGTGATTTCGAGGCGATAGATGGTACAGGTGATGAGCTGCATGATGAACCAGGCCACTTGAAGCATGACCAATCCTTTTGATATCACATTCCCTTTGCTTTTGTCATGGATCTGCCTTTCCGTTAGAGTAGGGAAGTCGATACACCCTTTACGCATCAGTTTGAGAATGTCATCAGGTCGTAGTACAAGGCAGGGTTTCCCATCCACATAAAGCATGAAACCAGCCATGAGCACAAGGAAGCTGTGCATTTGAGTCCATGTATAATCTTAGAATGCACATGAGTCAACGTTCAGGCGAGCACAAATCCGGCCTACCTTCAGATTGCTCTGAGAAATATGCCTTAACAGACCTTTTGACGGACCTCCCAAGAGTACCAGGGAAACCCGAAACAGACACCAGCACAGATGATACACCTTTAGCCAGTACTGCGAGGAGGCTATTTTCACGTTGCTCAGGTGATTCAACAGACTGCACTACTAAGGTCATGTATAGTGAGTTAGTGAGTTATGAGATGCAGATTTTCCGGAATCACAACTCACCTTCGGGCTCTGGACAAAGGTTGAAATATGCTGATTCCTTGAACTGTCTTGTAAGAAGGCGAGCGCTGAACCATTGACGCATAGCCCATGTAACAATCAGTTCAGGAGTGATCAATGCCAGTATCATCATGCCAAGTCGCCGCAGCAGAATACGATTAGGACTTTCCTTAGGACTCAGAATATTAGGGTGGATGGCACTGTATATGCATGCAAAAAGAGTGAGAACGGAGCTGGAGACGATGGACCATATGGTTCTGGTCATGAATGATGGGGCTTTAAAACTGTCGCTAGTGATAGTATTGCCAGTTGTATTAGTTGTAGTACCAGGTGCAGCTTGAACCACTCCGACGAGGTAGAGGAAGACGCAGAGAAGGAGAAGTAGTAAGCGCATCACAAGTTGGACGTCCGAGTCACTTTGGGGTGCCAATCACGGTATGCATCCTGTTTGCTATTTGTATTTTGCCAGTGGGCGTCATTTTCAAGGTAGTATGATGCATGGTGAGGCCCCAGCTTGCCTGATGTTTGCAGCATGGCAAGCGGATACAAAAGTAATGGTTAATGATTGTGTATGATACATACTAGTATATTAGTACTACTTGAAGTAACATCGTGCATTCGACTACTTTATGTATTACATAATTGGGCACTAGGAAAATGCTGTGCCACTGCTGCGACTGCTGCGCGGCATCTGCCGCGACGTGCCAAATTTACGCTATACAGCATACACTACTACTTTGAAGTAAGTAGAGCAGCAAACTAACACACGAGCAAAATACACTTGCTTGTTGCTGGCCACATACTATGGACTCTGCATCGCTGCCTTGAAGGACTTTACATGATTAATATAAACTCACTTGATTATCGTTGTCTTGAACTATGTTACTCGAGACTAGTAGTAATCTACAGTGTGTTCTAACTTCCGAGTCCTAGCTATTTCAAACTTGTGTGATACGCAAATCTACCATCGAAGTATTTATTCAAATGTGAGTCTGCAATACTATGATGTGCAAAATAACTGCTGAAGGACCATGTACTATACAGCTCAAGCTTATTTTCAGCAAGTATACTAGTGTCGCAGCACCTTGTCGCAGGCGTCGTGGTCGTCGCGGGCACCATATCGCAGCACCCCCCAAATATGGAAAGAAGATGCCCGCGACAAGGTGCTGCGACACTTGTCAGTAGCTCATATTCAATTCCAAATCAAGCTGATTTTCTTATTATCCTACTAATGCAGCACCCTCAACAACACTGGGCTAATAGGATTTGAGGAGGTGATAAGGGACGGAGTGAGGATGCTGAGAACTGGCAAGATAGTTTTCGAACATGATGTACGTGTCTTGAACTCAGAATCATATTGTTTCTGATGAGCCAACTTGTTAAACCATCGCACATCCTGCCGCACACAAATTCACACTCATCAGTCAACTGCACACTTCTAATGATTGTGGAAGAAAACTCGTTCATCAAGAATGCCCCAGAAAAGTCATATGCATCCTCTACTACTCATGTCATGGTAGCATATGTTACAAACACATCGACAATCGTGACCATGCTCGCCCTACTCGTATACTACACCTAATGAAAAGTTAGCACACTCAGCCGCCAATCCTCATGCACATGCCCGCAAAACTTCCTGGCAGTATAATGTATCATGTACTGTAATTGTAGAAGGTATGTGATATATCCACACCTTTAATCCTTAGACAGTGATGTATCAGCCTCTGTCACCTATACCAGTTGTCCGTTATATATCATGCTACTATTGAGTGATGTATCAGTATGCATCTATACCGGTTGTCCATTATATATTATGCTACTATCAAGTGATGTATCAGTATGTTTCCTGTATCATCATATATCATTGCCTTGTGACTCAGCGAGTGATGTATCCCTGTATCGGTGATATATCAACTATTGAGTCATGAGTCACGAGGATGATATATAACAATACAGGATACATCACTCGCTGAGTCACAAGGCAATGGCATATATGATATATCATGATACAGGGATACATCACTCGTGATACAAGTGATGTATCCATCATGATATATCATATATACCATTGCCTTGTGACTCAGCGAGTGATGTATCCTGTATTGTTATATATCATCCTCGTGACTCGTGACTCAATAGTTGATATATCACCCCTAGTAGTATGTCATAAAACATATATTATAATTTATAAACCTCTGTCGTAAACAAAATTGCCACCATAAACAAATTGAACATATGCTAAAGTACTTGTATCAGTCTACAGGAGGCTCGGCAGTCCATGACAGGACAGCATCCCACAATGACCTGAACCATGCAGACATTCTCTGACGTAGCATTGCCTGGCGATGTGCATATGCAACTGCACCCTCTGTGAATGCAGGTGATGAAAATTGCCGTCGTGAGCCTTGTGTGTCCCACCATTGAGCCTGTCACTCAAAGAAAGAAAGAACATGGCACATTTCCTCACAAAGAAGTTGTACTTCCTCCTCCCACCGATAAGCCCATGCCTGTGCCTTGCACCATTCCACACACAATGCTACAATATATTAATCAAGCGATGTGCGCAGTCAAAATCAGAGACTTACAATCCTGCAGCCCTTCCTCCTGATTGTTTGATACCCCGGGTGTTTTCCATATCCACGAAATATTCTGTTGGCCAACTGTCTTCCCTTCGTCATGATTTAGTGGGACCGCGTCTTTTGCCCTGTCCAGTGGCTTCAGTATCCGCTGCCAGTCGTCGTTCTTGCCTAGTTTTGAGGCAAGCATAATAAGTGCGTCTCGGGCAGCAGTGTACTTAGCTGATATTGTATTGATACGACTTTCAGCAGAATGAATAATGCCCTGAGCACGAGTGTTCGTGCGCTGACCTCGAACAAAGGCGTTCTTGTACTTGTAGAGGGGTAGGTCATGTTGATGACAGTGCGGAGGTCATCCAGAGCATCATTTGCCTGTGCCTGACGCAGATCCCATTCATACCTTAGCAAGCGGTTGTCACAGGGGAAGCTCGAAGGCAGCGAAGAAGGGAGAAAAAGTTATATCTTGTGGACCTTGTCCTCAGAGGCAATATCATTGGGCGAACGCAGGCAGGAGATGTAGGGCATGTACAATAGTTGTACTCGGGACCAGGTGCTGATTCTACGACGGAGGGCATTGATGTGCTGGAGAATCTTGAGTTTTTGCACATCGGTTGCATGCTGTCCGATGGTGCGAGCTTCGAACTCAACACATCGTCTGTGAAAACACGTCAGCCACAAGCACAATACGTGATGCGTGAATATGCACTGCTGATCTTCTAGTTCCATCCCTGATGATATAAGGACTGATGGTGATATATCATCATCCAGGGAGATATGTCCGCCATGCTCAATTTCTTCTGCCTCGGCCTTCGATAATGCCAGGCGCACAGCGGCCTGGGTCACAGCTAATTACTCTCAGTGACGTGAATTATCTGAGATAAAACAATACTCACTAGTCCTCGCTTTGACTTTGAACGGATTTGTCAGGGAACGGTCTGACTCCCACATCTCGATCTCTTTCCGCCATGTAGCTAATTGATCTGGATCAAGGGCCGCCTCAAACTCCTTAAGATCAGAGGCACGTTCTTCAACCTCAGGTATTGCAGCCTTATATTTACGGAGGAGAGTTGTGCCTGTGAGAGTAACTCCAAGTCAGTATTGAATTGTTATTGATAGAATGAAAACTTACCCATGCTGCAAACCTTCTTCCAATTCCAATCGTTGAAGTGATCATCTAAGGTGTCTCGCCTGGATCCGGGTCCCATCTCGCGAGTACTTGTAGCGATGAGGTTGATATCTGCCCACCCGCGCTCTGGGGCTTCGCCATCAGTCCGCCCGACACCCTTGATGAAGTTAAATGAGAATTTGGTTTGGCAACTGGCGATGTGCGCTGGTAGATGGAACTTAGGAATGAGGAACGTGACAACCTTGTGATTGTGGTCGACATGCGCAACCAAAGGTTTTTATTCCACTGACAGGCAATATCGTAAGATATGTTGAGGATGTGAATGTCTTGTGAAGAGCGCATGCTTGAAAAAAATAGATAATCCATATTGATGTACCTATCAATGGTAGGTTCAGAAACGCGACTATGATACGTTAAATAGACGAAATTACCTTTCTCCTTTTTGTAAGTCGCCAACTGAACACGGTCGTTTGAAATTGTGCCGCGCACAATCAACTGTGCCTGCACCTGTTGCCACAAGTCCACGCGAAGCCCTCGTATCTGCTAGGTTCACAGCAGAGTGGCTAGAACATGTGCTCTTCTACATTTAATCATGATTAGCACCGTGTCTCAGGTGAGTGTATTAAACTTACCTCCTGGGGATTCCCCACCCTGTAGTGCGAAGCCAGGAAGTCCTTGTACGCGGTCTCCTCCACAAAAAATGTGTACCCATGATTCAGTCCAGGATCAACGGCATCTGACAATACATTACGCCGAACTAGTCGGAAGTTTGCATCAATAGCCAGGAAAATTGCATATAAAAATCTGTGGCTGAGTTAAGAATGAAAATGAAAAACTTATATGGGCATTCTCACTGGAATTCCGATGGCGAATTTTCCCACCCAACAGGTAGATTCCTGCTTGGATGGGGACAGGCAGGGCATAAGATGGCACAAGCACTGGCCTCTGTTGCTTGGATGCCTCCAGGATGATGACCCTGACCGCAGCGCTTCATTTGCATCACGAAGCGCCATTCGCGTATCATCCGAAGAAGACTCGCATAACGATCCTAAGGGATACATGTCAGTAAAGATGTATTTGAATGCAAGACCACTTTGCCTACCTTTAGAACACGGGTGCCTGTGTTATCTGTGAGGCGAGCAACGGTATTATAAAACTCCCATGCCGATACTTTAGATTCAAAGGACAGCATTTGAAAATACTCTAGCACTCGAAAGGTGGCAGCTGATTTAGGGTCCAGTGTGGTGGCGGGAAACAAGCGAACACAAAGCAACTAGGTGATGTGTGGCTGTGCAGACTCACATCCACAGAAATCAAGTCCAACTTCATGAACACCATTGTAGTCAAGAATAACAAAGTCGTCGTTGAATGTAGGGATCGGATTGACACATTGGACACCAATGGGATGCCCAAGCTGAAAGCGGACTCCCAAGGCCTTCAACATGGTGGTCTGAAATGAGGTGCCATTCCAACACTGTGACTTTGTAAGTTCAAATTGATATTTGGAAACAAAAAGCATACATACCTCTATCCTGTGAAGTGGTTGCCTCTCGTGTATGTGCAGAGTGCATGAGAGACACACCAACTCTGCACCATGACAGTCTTGGCACCGATACATTGGGCCTGCTTCCCCGCAGAAACATGCGGCTTGTGCAAAGTCACTGCGACCCTCTAAGCGAATAAACTCCAACAAAAAGAGGTCAGCATCGGAATTCCACAGGCGCAAAGGATCATCCTAAGGAGACCTTGGTTAGAATGACTACTGCATTATTAATCAATATATAACTTACCCCAGCAGTGTGCTTTCGCTTGCCAGAACCAATATCCTCATCAACATTATTGAGCGATGAAAAATCAAAATCATCTGTTGGTAGATCGTGTGCGTCTTGTGATGCAGGCTCTCCAAATCGGCATTTGGCGGGTGAGTGTGGAACCGTGTAGTATAGTGAAGAAACGGCAAGACGACCAGTAGGTGCTGCCTCAAAACTGATGTGTTTGCGCTGCTGCTCCTGGCGAGTGTCTTGTGGAGTGTCGTTGGTCTCATTTCTTACTGCTCTTCCCGCAGCATCATTGTGAGCAAAGAAGTTGTTCTGGAACTGCCGGAGAGATCGCCGCTTTCGACTAATAACCATGGTTTACTCTGAGTCTTGAGATGAAGCTGCATACCATGTGCCAAACACCAGTTTTTCCCGGTTCTTTTACGTCTAAGTAGATAAGCGTAGCCAAGTGCAACTACACTACAGGTCGTTAATCCAATGTAATTAGATAGCATTAAAAAACTGACATGTGACTCATTCAGAAGGTGTTTGCCAGCTAAGTGAACCTGCTGATATAGCATTGTCATATGCTTCAGTACCGCCCTGATCTACCAGTGCAAAAAACTCCCTTTCTGCAGCAAGCTGTCGTGTTGTCAAATGGAGCAGTTGCTCACACTGCTGTGATAGAGCGTTATGCCCAATCCCTGGTGCACATAGCCGTACACTCTCCACCAGGTTGAAGATGCGCTGGTGCAAATTGTGCACATAAGTATGCGCATCTTCGAGCTCGGGGGATATTACATCCCATCCTTCTGTGTCAATGTGTTGAAGTACTGCAAGAAAGTGTTTCGGTAATGTATTGTGCTCGGAAACTCCTGCTCTGTAGCCAAGCTCCATGTATAGTATATCAAGGTCTTGAAACTTGGTGACAATGGACTTAGATAGTGGTCAACATATATCGTGCGCACTGGGTCACCCAAGAAAGACTCACTTCGCTCATTTGAGAGTGTTTTCGCCAACGACTTCGTGACTTCACCTGCTCCATGGTCTTGTTTCTAGATCAGAACAAACCAGATAACTGTTAATTCCATAGGACAGTGATAAAAGCTAACCTTGCATAGTGAGCTCGCTTGCTTTTCAATCTAGCATTGCGATGATCATCTTCAGACTTGTATTTTGGTGGCATCGATATGTGTAAGCTTAATACTAAAGCATTGAAGGGTAACTTAGCATTTGGAATTGGTTCACAGCAAATGGCCTGATGCCAGTCTTTTCAAATGGGAGCCACACTTCGGGACAGATAGATTTGTATACTGCGTCGTACTTACTTGGCACGGGTTGTATAATCACTAGAAGACTCAATATTGAGAATGTCCAACTTGCATGCAAGAGATGTTGGATGTGACCATGGAAAAAGCTTATATTTTAATATCTACAAATGACAAAGCATATAGTATGGAACATATCACACTGCCTCACTGCACCATGCATTAAACAAGGCCTGAAAATGCTCCTTCGCTTCAGAGAGTGTTCTAAAGTAATGTACTGTTGTGCCGGCAGCACGAAGTTTGCGGGCAGTATAGCTAAGTATTATACATGAGACACAAATCCAAATTAATCAAGAGACCACGTACATGTCGTTGAACAATCCCATTCCATGATAGCCCATACTTACAAACCATTTGAATTGACTAGTGGGGTCAATGTCAAGATTGACAAGCGTTTTGACACTGGCATTGACATCAACCGTCTGATGCTCTCGCTCAGATTCTTCCCCATCACTGGAGGGAAAGTCAAGCTCGGAACCGGGCCAAATATCTTCATCGACATTGGCCGCAGGGCCGATCCAGACGTCAGAGACATCAGTGTTGTCCTCGACAACATTTGCACGGCTGTCGCTGTCTATTGCACCCTGGTGAGGGTCTGCACAGTACATAAATGGCGTCAGCTTAAAAAAATGGTAGTTAAATTGAGCATACCGTGTTGCACATGAAGTGCGCAGTCTTCACCTTCCAGTCAATAAGGCCAACCAAATGGTTGGGGAGAGAATGGTGGAACTTTGCAATGATCAGTGAGCATTATGGAGAACTGGAAGCAAACAACTTACTCTGTCCACTCTGAACCAACCGAATGGCCTCGATGAACTGCTTGAGTGTGAAGCAGGGATGGGGTAACATTTGAACGTGACGGTTGTGGCAGCACCTGATATCTGAGTGGGACATGTTTGCGAAGCTGAATGAAGGCAGTAAGTTCAAGTTAGTGATGAAGAAAAAAGTATTTGTACTCCTCGTCAATTGATTGGTTGACCTTGTGAAAAAAAATGAGCTGAATAAGAATGCGGTGAGGAAATTTGTGACCCACAAGTGACCTGCTGCACCCCCCCCCCCCCAAAAAAAAAAGGCAACCGGAAAGATGTGAGCATACCAGCTAGAAAAAACGGATATCGCACTGATATTGTATGTTCAGATGGCCCCTCCAAGGTGGACGACGGCAGCGGAACTTTCGTGGCTGCAAAACAAAGTGCCAACATACCTTCAGATGCAGAAAGAAAAGACAATACTGTGATTCTTCGAACTACTGTACCCAAAATGGTTCAGTGGTTTCCCCGAACATTTGAGAGTTTGGCCCAGAGAGCCAAGCCAAAACTCACCTGACAAGGACACCGAGATCGACGAATCTGGTCTTGACTTGGCTAATGACGAGGTCAACACTGAGTTGGACCATGAAAACAGTGTGAGCGACAGGGAAAAACTCTCCCAGTTGGATGCAGAGCAGACAGAGGTGCTCAATGCTGCCATCAAGCATCGACATAAAGTGCGTTTCTTTGATATCGAGCTCAATATAGGTCGGAATTCTGATTAGCTGGTCTACAGAAATTGCGGGAGTGGTTTCGAAACAATACCAAAGGAAAAACTACACCTGGCGGGACCTCAACTAGCAAGATCCTATCTACGTTGCTTGGCCAGCGTGCACGAGGCACCCGAGACCTCAAAGAAGTCGAGGTGTACTCGCAAATTCACTATGAATCTAAAGTCAAGCCCTTAGTTTCCGATGACATTAAGGAAAACAACCTTGTACTACCTGATCAGAAGCTTCGTGCTATCCGGCAGCACACAAGCGAATGTTTTGCAAATGAGTCAGAGGATGTAAAGGATGAGGTTCATGATGAGACTGTGCGGATCAATGCTGCCAGAAAGTTGGGATCAGTTGCGGTGGGTCAAGATCTGACAAAAGAGGAAATTTACCGGTAAGCGATTCCGAGTCTTTGATGATGTTGAACTTGTGTCCGACTTCAGCTGATGCCTTTTGGAAGTGCCATTCAAGAGCTGCCCATCGTGTTGGGTCAAATATTTGAAGAGCTTTCAACTCTCACGGGTGGATGGCACTACTCACTTGTTATGGGTGGGCCTGACCCTCTATGCGAAGGTGATATCATGACGTTAAGGTGCGTCTTACTTGCTATCTCATTCGCAATAGTTAATTCATCATCTTTTGTTAGTTATCACCACGGTAAATCCCTGGAGGGTTTGAGCTTCAAGACATCGACACCAAACTTCCATGAACAATATTTATTACTGTTTGAAAAACACCTGGGTCGCATCTATGGTAAGTATCATCCTCGGTTAGTTCATAGGATACCGCTGATATATCAATAGGTCCTTCTGTGAAGGGTCAGTTCCCACTTCCGCATCCAGTTCACCTCCTCCGTCAACTGTCAACCTCATTTCGCCATCCGCACCCAGTGCGCCTCCTCTATTGACTATGGATTTCATTTCAACATCTGCACCCAGTGCGCCTCCTCTATTGACCATGGACCTTTCGACATCCACACCCAGTGTGCCTCCATGGACCATGGACCTAATTTCGCTAGACCAGCCGTCAGACCAGTCAAGTGCCCACCTACTTCAAGGGCAGGAGTTCAATACTTCTGGTCTGGTACTTGATCCACCCCAATGGAATGGATGGCAAAGTCACCCGGACCCCAACCCATCTTACATGTCTTCAATGGCTCCAGACTCGCCGATCACTGCTTGGAGAAGGGACTATGGGTTCAATGGAAATGCGACTATGTCTGCCGCACTCCCAAGCGCCATCATGCAGCCTCAACTGCCATATTCCAATGCATTGCCCACGCATGACCTTCCACTTACAGGCACAATCCCATTGCTCCATCAACATTCACTGCCAGTCTCTTTACCTGAACCTGCGCTGCCGGTCTCTTTACCCAATCATGTGCTGCCGGTCTCTTTACCTGAACCTGCCCTGTCAGTCTCTTCACCACAAACTGTGCAGCCGGTCTCTTTGCCACAGCCTGTGGAGCCAGTTGCCTTGCCACAACCCGCGCTGCCACTCGAACCTGACCAGGTCATGTTGGCGCATAATTCAAAGCCGTTGACATCCTCCAAACACACCATTGCAACCCAAGCTAGGCGCTCGGGATGCCCAGGACGTCCTTCAACTCGAGCAGAGGAAGCTAACAAAATTGGTGATACCAGCTCACAGCAAGTGACGAAGGCGGCACCTAAGAGAAAGCAGAACGCGGTACAGCCCCATGCTTCAGAGTCTCGAAAAAAGTCTCGGAAATGATGTCGTTGTGGGCCTCCAGCCTTATAGATACCTACATACCTATGCACCCTTGTCAACAATATTAATTTTGAGATTTTTTGGTGTCCCTATTCGATTGATTCTGCTGCGAGAAGATTCAGATCATCTAACACAGTATCATTAGCATTTTACTGATTTACTGGTAGTAAGTATCATGATATATCACACTGTATGGCTAGCCGCAGTATACCAGAGTAAGTGATATATCACATGGAACATTGTAGCATCAATTTGGAAAGCTAAGTACTGGTGATATATCACACGGGACACTATAGGATCAATTCACATTTTAATGATATATCATCGCCCTCTACTGAGTATTAATAAAATATATTACTTGGATTGTGATATATTTTATTAATACTCAGTAGAGGGCGATGATATATCATTAAAATGCCAAGGTACATGATATATCACAATCCAAGTAATATATTTTATTAATACTCGGTAGAGGGCGATGATATATCATTAAAATGCGATGTATCATGATTTATAGTGGATATGCTAGTACTCGTATGAGGCAGTGATGTATCATGGAATATATTATTAATCACTGGTGGTAGGTGATGTATCATGCTCTATTGGTTACTGACAGTGGGGGACAAGTGATATATCATTGATACATCATATGTCTATGCCTATGGTTTATAGGTGTGGATATATCACTACCCTTCTACAATGACAGGTAATTGATACATCATTATGACATTATCGCCTGATGCCCGAGCTGTGGGGCTAAACAGTTGCTGTAAGCACACAATGCAGCCATCATCTTGCATGCAATGTTGACACAACCACAGTGCAGGAAAAGGAGTGCTCGCTTGCCATGACAAATTTTAGTATTCCTGTCAGACTCATTCAATTTCATGGGGAGACAGATGCATGGAAAGTGCGGTGGTGGTGCGGATGTAGGTTTCCTGCAGTGACGAAAGAGATCCCGGTTATGATGAAAATGAACTTGAGGTATGATGCATTTTGATTTTTGAAACGGTCCTGGTTAACAATCATCTTAGTGCGGGCCAGATTTCAGTGACAGCAACAATGTCAAACAACGGACGTCAGTGCTTCGGAAACAACAGGCAACAAAATCCCATGGAGAACCGAGAAAACTGTTAAGACCATGCACAAAGGGTAGGACTGATTCTGAGGGGCTTGGCTTCAGCTCGTGCACTGCGCCCCTTACCCGAGTATGTGCCCTTAATTTCAGAATGATGTCCGAAGAAAGTCCAAGGACGTCTGAAGGACGTCCGAAGTGCGGGAAAGTTCGGAAGGACTTTCCGGACGAGTGCGGGAAAGTTCCGGAGGAACTTCCGGAAATTACGATGAGGTTTTGTCCTGATATGGATACGTGTAATGGCTACTTAGGACAAGTCCTAAGTAGAAGCAAACAGAGGAAAGGCTGCAAGGACAAAGTCTGAAGCAGAATAGGTCCGGAGGACTGGAGACATGGATAGGGCATCCGAAGGTCCGGATGAGGCGTGGGAATATTGTCGGATGTAAGTCCGGAATACGGGATATGACAAAAACGAAGAAAAGTAGTTCTGACCGCATTTTGAGATGATGCCATTGCCCGTGACTGCGCAGTCCCTCGTTGAGAAGAAATAAAATAACATTGTATGCAGAGGAATCAGACTACAATGCAATATGAAAGATTGTTTAGTAACAAGATAGTTGTTTGGGAGACCTGACTTGCAGACCGGGAGTACTGCAAATCTCGATGATATCGCCTGACCATGGCTCTGGGAGTGTGGATATACATATAAGGAATTGGAGCACCCTCAAGTCCATGGCTCGTTCGGAGGACAAGTAAGTAAGTGTAGTTAATTAGATGTTATATGATACATATTTACTTGATAGTGATGAATGAACGCAAATTTCGCGAAACGCGCCTTGGATTGAAAATTTTGCAGCGCCCGGATCCGCCGGGCCGGTTTTGCCGGTGGTGGATATCCACCATACTCACCGGTGGATAACTGACCCCCGATTTTTCCAGGGTGGATATCCACGGCGGCGTGGATAACTCTCCAGAGGGTTATCCACGGTACACTAGCACTCACCATTTGGGAACATTGCAGTGGTCGCAGCAGTTGCCGCGCAGCAGTCGCAGCAGTGGCGCAGCATTTTCACTATGCCCACATAATTCACTCCGATGCCGCACTTCAAGTTATTGACATGTCTGAAGCGAACCAAATCGCAGCCGGTCCAACAACTATCTCCAACAATGCAACACACTTTTGATCGAGACTCCTTGCTATGTCACGGTTGTATGGTATGGTCGTCGATGAGCATGTCGAGTTTCTGTTCGAATTTCGACGCCTTTGGTTTGCAGCAGCAGTCCTCAGTCTTGACTTGTGGCAGTGACATCGCTCCCTGACTTTTCATTGCAAGCTGGCGGCCATGTTGAGTTGTGGTGCTTACCTTGCAACGCTATGTATAACTCCATTGATACTAATGAATCACAAGCAACACTGGCATGTGTCCACCACCCCCAGCTTGCACTGCTACAGCGTACGCTCCAAAGGCCGCAGTAATGATTCATGTCACTATTACATGCCTTCAACTTTGGAGCCGACTTTTCATCATTCAAATCGCAGGCTTCTAAACGCCATCATGATTCTACTTGGTGAGCTTTTAATCTGCATAGAACGCAGCCAGACTTCATGCACTAGGATGAATATTGCGAAAACACCGCCCGTCACCTAGTTTGATCGAATAACCTTGCAGTTTTTCACTTGGACGGTCCCAAATTACGTCCCACTCGAAACGGTTGATATCATAACTCACACATAATTCGCTCACGGTGCAACTTATTGACTTTCTAGATCAGATCAAACTTCTGGGACCTCAAGGCCTCATAGGTCGACTAGATACTCAGTTGCTTTGAGAATGTATTTCTTAGACACCTGCAACGGTATTTAAAAGCGACGTCTCTCGCAGAGTGAAGGTAAGTATGGTCATCACGAATACCCTATGAAATATCATACTGATTGTAGTTTTTCAAGGGCTGGGCGAGCGGTTGTCACTAAAATTGTAGTACATGCCCGATAGCCGACCCCCTTTGAGATACCCGGGGTATTTTAACTAAATGTCAGTATATCGGCACCCTGAAGTCGATCGCCGCAGTATCGAAGGCTTGCTGGCGCTTCAAGAACGAGTCCTAACTACACGTGTGCGTGTACATATGAGCGTCTGTTCTAATAGGGTCCACGGTAAGCACCCCTCGCTGTTTGAAAGTGGCAGTTGACAGTGATGACCCTGGCCTAACGCATGTCCAACTGCAGGATTTCATTTACCTTCTCCTCGGCCAACTACCGTCGAACTGGGTCATTGGTTTAGTGAGCAGAATTTTCAGCCGACCACGACTCTTCTTTTTTAGCGATCCTGCAGTAGTCATTGATGTTCACATGTTCCGTACATCTAACCGTAACCGTCTATGCTTCGTTCGGCATGTAGATTTCCCGGTGCTCGTAACTCACTATGTCAGACGATTGAAGAGTTCTCCCCCGAATAGGATATAGGTAACGACAAAATTATTTTGTTATGCGTTCCATCACACTACACATGAAAATAAATTCACGCCTTCGTTTATAACGCCAGGATGCTCTTGCCTGAATATCACCAGTTGATATAACATATCTAGCTAGTGAACGCAAGAGTAACGACTTCCCCAATATAATTTTGATTTCGAGGAATACTTATGGGTAATAAGTTGAGAAACTGAGTCAAAAACTCCAACAATGATTTCCTTAAGCATTGTCAGTCATCTTCAGAGGCACTGACGAAGTCATAGTCGTTAGGGCATCAATGCACGATACTGATATAAGTGTTTATGTAGGGTTAGACAGTGTCAGTTGCTACATAGTACACTGGCTTGTAAAAAAAGAAGAAAAGTATGAATTGTATCTTGAGCACGGTAACCAAAAACTATAAGTGCGGCACCTCAGTGGTCCACGACACCGCTTCGTATGCGTTATGACCAAGATTGCGTAAAGTAGTGAACATAAGTGCAAAGAGGACGGCACGAGCTATGATGTAGAACATGGCATATAATGAACAGAGCGAGAATTGAACCTCCTTTGATGCGCACAGGAAGGGCAATAGAGTGACAAAACCAAGCCAGGGTATGCAAGTTATAATGATAGCACTTATGGACCATAGCAGGTGTTCCTCATATGTGGGAAAGGTAAGGAACAAAGCCATACAATGGATGGCGCCAAATATGGTTGTCATGAGAAGTCCAGCGGCTACAAGAATCATCTTGTCCGAAGGTCGTTCGAGTTTGATGCTGCCATCAAATGTTGGAACTCGCAACTTTCGAGATGTGGGAATGTCAGCCCAGCCTATCAGTTCTATGATTGGGCCGAGGACTGGAGAAAAGATCCCAAGGTCATCGGGTTGGTCTCTGTCACTCAGACTAAGACAGACATAATCAGCAGCAGTATAATTGTTCAGGTGCATACATACCCCAAAATATTCTCTGGCCTTGAGTTGGTCGACTTCCAGTACATTGGATGTGGACATTCCACATCGAGAGGCTTGTTCCACCACGCAGCATAGGTTAGGAAATTAAGTACCGCAAAAGCGAGTGTCCCCACTTCGAGCTGGGTGATTTCGAGGGGATAGATGACGCGGGTGACGAGCTGCATGATAAACCAGGCCACCTGAAGCATAACCAATCCTTTCGATATCGCATTGCCTTTGCTCTTATCGTGGATCTGGTCTGCCGTTAGGGTAGGGACGTCGATACACCTTTCACGTATCAGTTCGAGAATGTGATCAGGCTGTAGTGTAAGGTAGGGTTTCCCGTCCATATAAAGCATGAAACCACCCATCAACACAAAGAGGCTGTGTGCCTGAGTCCACATATGATCTAAGGATGGACATGAGTCAACGTTTAGGTGCGCACGAACCAGGCTTACCTTCCGACTCAGACTGGGATTGCTCTGGCTCGGATTGCTCTAACTTACTAAACCGCTTTGCAACCCGCCTCGTGGGGCTACAAACGCAACAACAAAAACACGCCAACACAGATAATACACCTTTAGCAAGTAGGTAAAAGGGGTGAAACAAGGGCCAGAGGAAGAAAAAAGGCATCAGGCCATACTATAAGAATGATACATTAAATACCTACAATTGTAGATGAAATGTGATACAATAATTACTGAAGTCCATAGATACCTATCATTGTAGGGCTGATATATCAATGGAGGATCCTGTCAGGACACTCCCATAATAATCTCACACCCCTAATTTTCGCATTTTTGACCACCTACTGTGGGAATTTCCCCACAACACTTAAAAATAGATTGCTTCTCCACATTTTCGCATTTTTAGCCACCCCACTACACCTAAAACATCACCCATTTTGGGAATCTCCACAATATCAATTATTCCCACACCCTCCCCACCTCACTGCAGCTTCACCACCACACCACAATAGGTCCCCTCTTGTATCTAAGTAGTAGTTTGGTATATATATATACAATATAATGTAATAGACCGCTTTTTTTGCTTATTTGTGTGCCTGCTCCTCCTCTAGAGGCCATTTAACATATGTTAGAGTAAAGAACACTTTCGCACTTTTGCCCCTTTGGTGGGAAAGTGTTCTATTATATTCAAAACATGTTTATGAGCATATATGAGTATATTCCCATCTTTATTTGACCCCCTGAAGCGCCCTACATCAATAGATATAGCACATATGCAAGAAAACACAGAATATGTTTCTATTTAATTATTTCTAGGTGGACAGACTTGGAAAAATGATTCCCAGTATCTATTCAACAATATGAACAATGTATCAGGAGCCCAGGACCATGGGATAATTCCCTGTTGCATGGTGTGCCCCCCCTCTCCTGGTGGTTTACCCCCTGTGAAAATTTTTCCTGCAGGACCGGACCTTAATTGAGGTGGGGGGTCTATTTCTATGTATATTTGGAGTAGATCTATCATATAGCTGGCCCAGAACACACATAGGATCCTGCTACAAGAACAAAAACATAGAAAATCTCACTTTTGACACTTTTGATGTTTTTTAGTATCTTACTCTTGCATAAATAACCATCCCTGCTCACATATTATCAGTAGTACATTCACACATATGTTCTATGCCAAGGATCAGCCCTACATAGGGCGCAAATTTGATATCTGATGTACAGGAGGTATTTCTACTGATAAGGAGCCCATACTTTCAAAACATCGAAATTTAATAATCAGACACTTGGAGTAGATTTAAAGTACATTCACTATCATATACCTAAATTTACAAAACAATCCAACAAGAATTGAGTGCTGAGGAAGTGAAATAGATAAGAAATTGAGTGTGGGAAAGTTCAACGACTCAAAACATCGAAAATGGTCAGTTGGGCAGCAGTAGGACTTTAATGCTGGGTCAACTCAAATATACATCACATTCCTTCCATCACCCTCTAACCTCAGGGCAGTATATAGCATAGGTTCATTTAGTAGTCTATCATATATCCTACATATTTTTAATGAAATATTTGCCCTGCATCAGCAAAACCCTGATTTGGGTACAGTGCCACAGCCACACAGCGTGTCACAGGTCACAATTTTTTTTTGCAAAGGCTCTGCAGCATCACAGAAGTACTAATTCTATGTAAAAATAAATGTAATGTAGTCATAAATATATATACAACATGATGGTATACTAACAATTATGTTTTATTGAGAAATTGTGTAGTGCACAGCACTGTGCAGCGCTGTACAGCGCTGTGCATGGGGGGACCTTGCTGTGATGCTGTGATGCTGTGATGCTGTGCAGGGTTGTGCAGCGCTGTACATAGGGTTAGGGTTTTGCTGATGTGTACCATATATAAATGTGACTTTGTGTCAAAAGATGTCAATTGTCACTTTTCACACATATGTCATTTTACTTGTCATTCAGTCAGTCCTTCACTGATCTTTCTAAAACTTCAAGTCCATCATTAGGGACATATATAAGAGGTATCCCAGGTATCTGATCACTTATCACAGGCTGGATTACTCTGTAGGTTTCCTATCAGTAGAAATACCTCCTGTACATCAGATATCAAATTTGCGCCCTATGTAGGGCTGATCCTTGGCATAGAACATATGTGTGAATGTACTACTGATAATATGTGAGCAGGGATGGTTATTTATGCAAGAGTAAGATACTAAAAAACATCAAAAGTGTCAAAAGTGAGATTTTCTATGTTTTTGTTCTTGTAGCAGGATCCTATGTGTGTTCTGGGCCAGCTATATGATAGATCTACTCCAAATATACATAGAAATAGACCCCCCACCTCAATTAAGGTCCGGTCCTGCAGGAAAAATTTTCACAGGGGGTAAACCACCAGGAGAGGGGGGGCACACCATGCAACAGGGAATTATCCCATGGTCCTGGGCTCCTGATACATTGTTCATATTGTTGAATAGATACTGGGAATCATTTTTCCAAGTCTGTCCACCTAGAAATAATTAAATAGAAACATATTCTGTGTTTTCTTGCATATGTGCTATATCTATTGATGTAGGGCGCTTCAGGGGGTCAAATAAAGATGGGAATATACTCATATATGCTCATAAACATGTTTTGAATATAATAGAACACTTTCCCACCAAAGGGGCAAAAGTGCGAAAGTGTTCTTTACTCTAACATATGTTAAATGGCCTCTAGAGGAGGAGCAGGCACACAAATAAGCAAAAAAAGCGGTCTATTACATTATATTGTATATATATATACCAAACTACTACTTAGATACAAGAGGGGACCTATTGTGGTGTGGTGGTGAAGCTGCAGTGAGGTGGGGAGGGTGTGGGAATAATTGATATTGTGGAGATTCCCAAAATGGGTGATGTTTTAGGTGTAGTGGGGTGGCTAAAAATGCGAAAATGTGGAGAAGCAATCTATTTTTAAGTGTTGTGGGGAAATTCCCACAGTAGGTGGTCAAAAATGCGAAAATTAGGGGTGTGAGATTATTATGGGAGTGTCCTGACAGGATCCTCCATTGATATATCAGCCCTACAATGATAGGTATCTATGGACTTCAGTAATTATTGTATCACATTTCATCTACAATTGTAAGAAGTGATACATCAAACCTACAGGTACAGGTGAAGGCATGAGAAGGAAGCGAAGGAAGCGAAGAAAACGAAGGAAGTCATTTTCAGGTGCAGCCACATTTTCTAAGGACGTGTATAGTGAGTTGTAAGACGCAGAGCTTCTAAAAGCACAACTCACCTTCAGACGTCCAGTCCGGACGAACATTGGGATACTTCGATTTCTCGAACTGTTTCGTGACTTGATTAGCGCTGAACAGCTGGCGCATAGCCCACGTGACCATGAGTTCAGGAGCGATCAATGCCATTATTATGATGCCAAGTCGCCGCATCTGGGTACCCGTATAACTATCCTTAGGACTCGGAATGTTAGGGTGAATGGCACTGTATGTGCACGCAAAAATGGTGAGAACGGAGCTGGTGTTACAATAACATGTAACCGAGAACCCCTCCTACGGAGGTCATCATGACCTTAGCCCCTATCTCACCATATGCACCGTCTTGGAAGACTTACCGACTCAACGGAGACTCGTAGAGACGCCTAGAACGGCCTGGATGCCGTTAGATGACCTAGACCAGCCTAGGCTACATCTGGACGGACCTAGATGGTCCTTGACCCGGATCATGGAGAAGCTCTGCTTCATGGTCAGAAGAGAAGCCGCATGCCGCAGCATGCGCAGTTAGACTCCAAGGCATGCTACGCCTTGAGGACAGATAAGAGAGGCATGGTAAGCCTCATGTATAGATAATCGCCCGCATGGCATCAGATAAGATGCCCTTGTATAGACACACTCATACCTACCTACCGAACGTAGTATTGGTCTGTGCACACGGACGACAGTATATAGAGCAGACAGAATCATGTATATTCCCTACTTGATTCTACTAGGTTTTCATCAGAACTTCCTCTGTGTGAATATCCCAATCACTCAGTCTAAGCCGCACCTAAAGGAAAGCCGATGCTACCTTTAGTGGAACCCCTGAACCTCTCATTCGAGAGAAGATCCCCATCTCTCCAGTAGCGAGCCCGCTATCAGATTAGGCAATCCGCCTAGGGAGAGCTCGACCTATCCTAGTCGTAACAAAAGAATCAAGTCTTACATTCCCGGCCCTGCTCATCACGCACCGCCGTTGAATCGATACCGACCGCACCACTGAGACAAGCGTAGACCTCTACTCTCGTGACCAAATCGCCGAGATCGGCGTAAAGCTATCCAGAAATCGTCGAGACAGATGTGCGAAGCTTTAAAATCCTTAAACCTATCACTGTCCCTTCGCACTACTCCCTCTACCATGAACGCACCGACACAGATCATGATGATTAGAAGAAATACCGACGCCGCCGCCAACCTCTCAGGAATGGAGACAAGACACCACCTGAAGCAACGACGATGCTTTTCTTGCCATCACGTTGGACACAAAGCCAACGACCATAAGTGCCCGATAAGGAGAAAGATTATCGAAGAAAAAACAGTCCGCAAGGCAGCGGCTGGTAAGGAGAAGACTGGACCGCTGATAATTAACAAGAAAAGTGTATCCAGGAAGAAAGAACTACGGGTTGCCGCCACCCTAATGTCCATCACTAAGCCGCCCGTCGCAACCACCATGGTCATAGACTCGGGCGCATGCAACTCATTCATAAGCAGTGAATTCTGCAAAAAGTATCGCATCAGAACGCACCTCCTTCAGACACCAAAACGAGTAATGAACGGAGACGGAACGATAGTCGATGGAGGCAAAAGATTTTGCAGACTCCTCATAAAGATCGACGACCGAGTAATGCACGGACGATTCATCATAATCCCGTGCCTAGACGACATCCTACTCGGATTCACATGGCTGGCCGCTGTGAAGCCTTCCATAGACTGGAAGAAGGGTACGGTAACTATCCCTGCCACTGACAAGTCAAAAGGACTTGAGAAAATGATTGAGAGAGGTAGGAAGAGGAACGGGTTGAAACCGCTCTTCCATAGAGAAAAGAGGACGCGAAACACGCGCCAAAGAAGGGAGGTAGGCACCCTGACGAAGAAGACAGAAGAACTCCGAGATGAGTATAAACTAGATCTGACAGAAGCACCTGTCACGCAGAACCTCCGGAATGAGGCTAAACTACCAGAACCGGCTGATTCGCCGATGGAAGATCTCCGAAATGAGTCGAAACTAACTTCGGGAAGACGGAGATTCAATCCGACATTAACCCCGATCGAGGAACTCCACGAAATCCTCGAGTACGCACCGGTTACCAAACCGTTGGAACCCCACGCCTCGACATCCCAGAACGTCGAGAAGAAGTCCACGAGACAGTCGGACTTAGTTGCCACCTCACCACCCGCAGATAAATATAGATTTTCTGCAGTACCTGCCCAGATCTTAGGAAAAGGCAGAGCCACTTTCGACGAGGAGCCCCCTCGTGCAAAGATCCCTAGACCGGCCCCTGAACCGGAGAAAACTCAGAAGTACGTCTTTTCAGCAGAACCTGCTTCGGTTCTTGGAAAAGGTAGATCGGTAGTCACAGCAGAAGCGCCGTCACTGAAGAAACTCCGCCACGAGTATAAACTAGCAGAAAACGAACCGGCCGCTGATCAATGGATCAACCGGGCCGAACCGATCATTTCATTCCCAGAAAGATCGAGAACCGCACCAGTCACACCCTCGTTCCTAAAGCCAGATCTGGCCGATATCGCAATGATGGAAGAAACTGACGATGAAGATAACGACGAGATAGTCGTTAATACCACCTCCGCGGCCCCTGAACCCGCGATGACTCTGATGGAAGTAGATCGGATTAAACAGCAGAACTACTTTCAGCGAACGATAAAGCGTATCACAAGACACTGTCCCCACCAGGACGACCCTGTGGATGTTAGATTATTCCAGGGAGAGATCGCACCAGTCGAAGATCGATCTGACTCTGACTGCGGAAACCCTGATTTAGACTTTTAGATTTGATCGGTGATCAAACGGCCTACTTGGGGGGTGAAATTCTCATTTAAAAACTCATTTCACTCTTAATTCCCCTCACCCCGGCCGCACCCTTATCTATAAATATCGACAATCGCCACGAGTCTGGCACGACTATAAACTGCGCAGAAGTCCGGGAAGACTCTAAACTAGCATCGGTCCATCACGACCTTAAAACTGAGAAAATGTCCGAAAAGACACTTAAACTAAAAGAAGAAGGACGAACCCGGAGACACGGATCCCTTCACCTTGAAGACGAGACTAAATACACCGAGAAACTCCTGCAAGCCCCGGATGCCTTACCTTCACCTCTGTCCGGAAAGACGCTAAACTATCACGAGACGAACTCCTTGGAAACTCCTGCAAGCCCATGGAACCCTCTAGAACGCCGATCGAGAAAATCAACAAAAAAGAACATCTCGAAACGACATACCCCAGATCTTGACAGAATTCGACTAAAAAAAAAACGAAAGATCAAGACACGCACGTCCGCAATGACGCAAAACTTCCGCTTCTGATAGTCCGAAATGACTCGAAACTATCCTTCGAACGCACTGGCATGGTGACTTCCCCCTCTGCCAAGAGAATCATGAGGCACTCCACGCCTTCACGATTGAACTTTGATAAAGAGATTAAAAGATAAGTTAACTGATCAAGCGGAGCTTAGAGCACTCTTGGAGGCCCATATAAACCCTCTACAATGATATACTCATCAGAACCTCTCGCAACAATCATGCCTAACAACATCGAAACCTCTGCTATCGTACCCCTGAGGAACTCTGGATTTTCCAAGATCCTCGACCACCTCGAGAAAGGCGCCGTCGCCGAAACGGCCATTCTCTCCCCAGATCACTTCCTAGAGATCAGCGACATCCTAGGACAGTCAGATGTCAACTTCGCCGCCTCTGCATCATTGGTGATAGACATCATCCGCACCACGCGACACCTAGAAATATCGGTGAACCGTGAAGACTTAGACCCAGCAACGAGAGCCCTCATAGTGCTGGAAGACCAGAAGAAAATCCGCGCAATGGCGCTACACTTACTCCCCGACAACTTTAGCGACCTCGTAGACATCGCGAAGAAACGCGTTGGAGAAAGATTAGAAAGACCCCCGCGCCCTACCAAGAAAGCGCGCGTAAACCGCACCTGCATCTGTCGACGATGCGGAGGATACGGACACACTTTTAGAAAGTGTCCAGACACTGTGTGTTGCATCTGCAACGAAATCGGACCCGACCACCTGTCGGTCCACTGCCCTCAACTCGGAGAAGAATCATCTCTCCCAGAGTTTAGAGACGACGAGGAATACTACGAACTCCTCGTAGATTGGGAGAAGAACCACGTCGCGCTAGAAGAGTTAATCAAGCACCACCCCGCGCCGCGCTCACCCACTCCCATTGATACCCGCAGTACTACTGCCACTCCAGACGAAGAAACCCGGGAGATAGAATCGTTGTAGTCGGAGACTTCAACCCAGAAACGGAGGTAATGTTACAATGACATGTAACCGAGAACCCCTCCTACGGAGGTCATCATGACCTTAGCCCCTATCTCACCATATGCACCGTCTTGGAAGACTTACCGACTCAACGGAGACTCGTAGAGACGCCTAGAACGGCCTGGATGCCGTTAGATGACCTAGACCAGCCTAGGCTACATCTGGACGGACCTAGATGGTCCTTGACCCGGATCATGGAGAAGCTCTGCTTCATGGTCAGAAGAGAAGCCGCATGCCGCAGCATGCGCAGTTAGACTCCAAGGCATGCTACGCCTTGAGGACAGATAAGAGAGGCATGGTAAGCCTCATGTATAGATAATCGCCCGCATGGCATCAGATAAGATGCCCTTGTATAGACACACTCATACCTACCTACCGAACGTAGTATTGGTCTGTGCACACGGACGACAGTATATAGAGCAGACAGAATCATGTATATTCCCTACTTGATTCTACTAGGTTTTCATCAGAACTTCCTCTGTGTGAATATCCCAATCACTCAGTCTAAGCCGCACCTAAAGGAAAGCCGATGCTACCTTTAGTGGAACCCCTGAACCTCTCATTCGAGAGAAGATCCCCGTCTCTCCAGTAGCGAGCCCGCTATCAGATTAGGCAATCCGCCTAGGGAGAGCTCGACCTATCCTAGTCGTAACAGCTGGAGATGATGGTCCATAGGGTTCTAGTCGTCAACGATGGGGCTCGAAAACGGTCGCTGATACTGATATCTGAATCTGCTGTATCCACTGGCAGTGTTGTAGGTGCAGCTTGGATTGCTCCTGAGCCAAAGAGGCAGAGGAAGAGACAGATAGTAAGTAACAAGCGCATCAGTGGACGGGTGTATCGTATGCATCCTGTTCATTTTTTATATTTACTAGCGGGCGTCAATTCAAAGGAGCACGATGTTGATTGGGCCTAGCACTCTTGTCTGACGTTTGCAACATGGCTTAGGGGAAGTGAAGATCCGTGCAAGTGCATAAGCCTCGTTGTACTTGAATTTATTAAATTTTATTCATCTCCGAATGTCGATCGGCTGCGAACCGAACTGCATTTGACGCCTTTGGTTTGCAGCAGCAGTCCTGACTAGCAGTGACAGCGTCCCACCGGGGCCCTTCTGACCTTTCATTTCAAGCTGGTGGTCATGTTGAGTTGTAGTGCTGGCCCTGTACTGAACGTTACTAATGTCCAACTCTGAATTCGATGTCAAGTACCGACAGACAGTGGCGTGTGTCCACCATCCCCAGCTTGCACTACTGCACCATATCATTACGCAAAGCCTGGTAATGACTTTCAGTCACATCAGTGCATGCCTTCAACTCGGGAACCTAGTATGTTTGATCATTCCAATCGCGTCATGCTTCCAGCTGCGGTGAGCCTTTACATAACCTGTATCAAGAGTACAGCCAGACTCTCTTAGCATAGTGAGGCTTTCAAAGTGCATCCCACTCGAAGCAGTTCGTGTCATAACTCACATGTAATGCAGTCGCGGTGCAACTGACTTGTCGACTTCCTAGATCAAGTCAGACTGGGATCTTATAGGTCGACTAGATTATCCTTGGTTGCTTCGAGACTGCGGCGCATTCGTTGCACACCTGCAAGGGGATTTGCAAGCGATATCTCTCGCACAGTGAAGGTATGCATGGATGGCTATCCCGAATAACCAATGAAATACTGTGCTGATTGTAATTTTTCAAGGGTTGGGCGCTCAGACAAGTTACAACAAGAGCCGGCCCAGCCATCATCCATGCTGCACTCTTACTGCACGGCGTCCCATTCTTGTACTAGCTTGCCTCGGCAACAGAGTAGGGCCGTCAGCATGCCCCATCACATGCTTGTATAGTGCTGCCGAAGTCCGGTTCGGTCCAGTTCATGGCCCTATATTTGCGAACCCCGAACCTGACCATTGGTCAGGTTCGAGCAAGGAGGCTGAACCATGGACCGGACCCCTGTGAACGCGTTCGGAAGGGTTCGGTTCAAGTTCAGAACGCGTTTGAACCCTCGAACCCTTTATTTCAATTTGCAAAAAAATCAAAATTTTACAAGACAACAACGACAAATTTGTACGCTACGTACAGCTACTCCTCGTTCACAATGACCGTGAGGCTTTTTAATCGGGGAGTCTATGTAATGCGCTGTAATGGATAGGAAAGGGTGACCAGGAAAAGATGTCCACGAGTCGAACGTCATGGAAATTTTGCTGTCGATAAAAAATCTCAGAAATGAAAGCTACTTACCTCGTCCTCAGCGACAATGAGTTCGACGATGTAATCCATGAGTCCGGACTTCATGAACGTGGGAATCTTTGGAGTCAGAGAGCCGTCCAAGGTTGCCTGACTGTCGGTTGCCTTGCAATCACGAGGTATGGCACGATTGTGCATCTTGATACCCCGTTCTTTGCAGCGGTCGTGATAGACTGGGTAGTGGCACTTGGGATGGCGAGCAATGTGAGTGCGTCTAGTCGAGATACCACCTTTAAAAAAGCACTGGTGTAGTGGGACATTATTGGCCTTGCATACCTCACACCACCACCCATTTTCACGCTCCTGGGTGTGGGGGTTGATGTGACCTTTCTCAAAGGTAAAGACTGTAGTCAAGTCAGCGCTGCGTTCATCTTTCTTGAGGGATTTGCGGTCTTCGCGATCCTGGTCGCCGAGCTTCTTCGTCCGTTGATAAGCTTCTTCATTCTCGGCATTCTCAGCATTCTCGGCATCCTCTTCCTCATCATCTGTAACGTCTTCAAGTGCGGGTGCATCTTCGTCGTCATCCTCGTCATCCTCTCTGCTACTGGTACCAACGAACACTCGTTTGGGTGCAGGGACACCCTGAGGAGGTTCTACAGCTGACCGTTTGGCTGAGGTACTGCTGGCAGTCAGAGTCTCGCGGATCTTCTCTGTGGGTTTGACCGCTCGACCAGAACGACGTACAAACAAATTGAGAGTGCCATTGTGTGCAGGAGCAGGGGGAGGAACCATTGGAGAGTCGTCTTCGGCATCATTGTACCACGCTATCTCACTGGCGTCTTTCAACGAACCGTCAGCGCGACGTGCAGAGGACATAGCAGCAGGGGGCATAAATTTCAAACCTAGGTACCAAGTGAATTTATTTAAAACTAGATTTAAAACTGTTGCGCACCATGAAACACCAAAATGAGAACCCATGGCAGATAATCAGTATGGTGAATCACAACTGTAGGTATGTTCTGAAATAAATCACATCATAAGTTAATTGTGACAGACAGTAGACTTGTTGCGAACTCACTGGCGCATGAATGAGTTGCATTACTGAAGTAGCCGAGAGATTGCCTTGCAGGAGAAGTAGGAGAAGACGGTGAACAGAAGGGCAAGGATGATACTTAAATAGAAAGCCTCACCAAAAACATGAGGCTTCGACTTCGAAAATCGTAAGTCAAAGCCAGCGACATGATAGGTTCGAACCGGTCCGGATGCGTCCAGAACCGGTCCGGATTTATCGACAACACACCGAACCTCAAACCTACCAAGGGGTTCGGTCCAAGAGAAATTCTGGACCTGTGACCGAACCATGGGTCCGGTCCACAAAGGTTCGGGTTCGAACCTAGGTCCTGGACCGGACTGCGGCAGCACTATGCTTGTATATAATTTCGCTACGTCAAACTCATCTCATCTTCGAACCAATTGAGCGCCTGAAACGGCCTGATGGGGTACGTCTCACACAAGGGCACTGGAGTTCCTGTAAAATGGAATGTCCTGCATAGGGCGATCTCGAGCTCGATAGGACAAAAAAAAATTAACAAAAAGGTTGGGCGAGCAGTTATCACGGTAAAATTGGAACCAGACAACTGACACCCTTTGAGACATCCAGGGTATTCTACCTAATGAACCGCACCTTGTCAGTGTATTACTCATTGGTACCTCAAGTCGATCACCACAGCATCGGAGGCTTGCTGGCGCTTCAAGAACAGGCCCCAACTAAACGTGTACATGCACGTATGAGCGTCTGTTATAATAGCGTCTACGATAAGCACCCCTCGCAATTCAAGGGCAGTTGTCAGTGATGGCCCGAGCCTAACACATGTTCAGCTGCAATATTTAATTTACCTTCTCTTTGGCCAATTGTCGTCAAACTGGGTCGTTGGTTCAGCAAGCAGAATTTTCAGCTGATAAATGACTCTTCTTTCTTAGTGGTCCTGAACCGTTCATTGGCACGGTGTTAATCTCGCGACTCTTGTGCGCGTTTCATGCATATATCAATAACTAACCGTAACAGTAACTGTCTATGCTTCCTTCGGTACGTAGATTTCCCGGTCCTTGTGACTCATCATGCCGAAGACAATTCAAGAGTTCTCTCCGAATGAATGAGATGGAAGTCGAGCAGAAAGGCCGCGACAACGCATGTACGTACAACATCGAAATATTTGCGGAACAAGAGACGATAAACATACTAATGTGCTCCGGGTCTTTATCCTCACAGCCCCACGAGATCGGAATCTGGTGGTTCAATTGTAAGTCATTGAAAGGATGTTTCTTGTCATATTGTTATCATGAGCAGTGGTTATCAAAGTATCGAAATTATCATACCCAGTGCGTGCTATAGCTTTGACATCGGAAGCAGATATAAGAAAATGAAAAACACTTCTTTCCTCTATAAGGTCAAACATGATAATGTAACGATCGATGACAGAATTATGCTGATGTGTGCGATTGTTTACTATATATTGTGATATATGGCCTTCTACTTTCTTCACCGGTTCACTGATGCTGGAACCTCATACGTCGACTAGATACTTAGCTGCTTTGAGACTGCCTTCGCTGCACACCTGCAACGAGATTTGCAAGCGATATCTCTCGCACAGTGAAGATAGTTGTGGTCATTACGAATAACCTATGAAATCTTGTGTTTTTCAAAGGCTGGGTGAGTAATTGTTCAGGCCAAATTGTATATACCCGAATAACCGACACCCTTTAAGACACTCCCTCGGGGTAATCTACTTAAATGAACCGCACCGTGTTAGTGTATCCACTCATTGTCTATCATCACAGTATGGAAGGCTTGCTGGCGCTTCAAGAACGGGTCCCAACTGAACGTGTACATGTTCATATGAGCGTCTGTTCTGATTGCGTCCATGATAAGCACCCTTCGCTACCCGACAGCCTAACGCATGCCCAACGGCAGGATTTAATTTACCTTCTCCTTGGCCAACTATCGTCAAACTGGGTCGTCGGTTGATTGAGTAGAATTTCCAGCTGATCATGACTCTTCCTGGAGCAGTCATTGGTACTGTGTTAGTCTTGCGCGTGTGTCGTGTACATCGTAATGACTGACCATAACCATAACCATATATGCTTCCTCCGGCATGTAGATTTCCCGGTCCTTTGACTCACTATGTCAAAGAGTTCTCCCCTGGAATCCGAGCAGAAAGGCCAGGACAACGCGTGCATATACAGCATCGAGATATCTGTGACACGTGCTTGGTTGAGTTACCGGCTCGTCGGGAAAACCGGCGAAGACAAGCACGCCAGGAAGTGGCAAAGGGGACACATATCCACCCCATACAATCCAAGGAGCAGACGTGATATGCAATAAATTCCCGTGCTTTCACGTACATGTACCTGCATTAGCTCGCAAAAGGCTCATTCTACATATCCGACTTCCTAATTCCAGAAGATTCAAGAGTACGAGACAGAAAGATATGTACTCACCAGCTTCTCCTCGTCACTGACTTGCATCCTCCAGAATACGGTCCCTAATTGTCCTCCTTCACTCCTTCCACAGCGGCCGTCGATGGCGAGGCGTGCTTCGCCAAAGACAATGAGGATCGAAAGCCTCCCAACACAAATCGATCATATCTAAAGGTGTCAGTATACGTAGATTTCTATCGGCCACGCATGTTCCTCTCCAAAGTCCAAAGGATAAACAGGATTTTCATGTGCAGAGCAAAGTTGATCTCTGTGCATAACGGTGCACGCAACACGTCGAGTCGCATCCAAAGGTAGTTAACTGTCTCGTCGATTGGAAATCCTGCTTATCAGTCATCCGCTCGCATCAACCACAGCGTACCAAATAGCCCCATTTCGCTGCCGTCCATGGTGATGAGCATTGTGCAAAACTTTGTTCGTTTCGCGTCGCACGTGAAGGTCATGTGATCGTGTCGGAGTCAGTGTACTACCTACTACCTAGCCTAGGTCCATCGTCCACTACAAGAATGCTACATCTGAATGTCATTACAAAACTATGAAGTGTATCGCAAGTACCATGATCAGGAACTACAAGTGCGGAACAAAAGTAACCCAATCCACTGCCAAGTATGCTCCAGGAGGAAGATGGCGTAAAGTGGTGAACATAAGCACCAAGAGGATGGCACGAGCTGTAATGTACAGTATGATAGATACCAAACCAATCGAGAAATATAGAAATATCAGGACTGCCGCACCTGCTGAATCGAATGTAAAAGTCGCAAAAAAGAAAAGCCAGGGTGTGCCAGTTATGCCGAGGGCACAAATGCGCCAGAGGAGCCGCTCCTGATGTGTAACGAAGGCAAAAGGCCAAGCTAGACAATGGATGCCACCGAATATGGTTGCCATACTCAACGCAGCAAGTTGAATGACCATTTTGTCCGAGTGTCCGAGTTTGATGCTGCCATCAAATGTTGGAACTCGGAGTATTAGGGATGTGGGGACGTCGAACAAGCCTATCAGTTCTATAATTGGGCCGAGCACTGGAGAGAAGATCCCAAACGAAGTGGTTTTGTCTCTGTCACTGAGACTAAGACAGATATCATCAGCAGTGGTATGATTGTTAAGGCACATACATACTCAATGTAATCCTCTGGCCTTGACTCAGTCGACTTCCAGTACACTGGATGCGGACATTGCACGCTGAGAGGCTTGTCCCACCACACAGCATAGGTTAGGAAATTGAGAACTGCAAAAGCGAGTGTCCCCACTTCGAGCTGAGTGACTTCGAGGTGACAGATGGCGCGGGTGGTGAGCTGCATGACAAACCAGGCCACCTGAAGCATGACCAATCCTTTCGATATCGCATTGCCTTTGCTCCTGTCATAGATCTGGTTCGCCGTCAGGATAGGGAAGTCGATACAGTCTTTGCGCAACAGTTCGAGAATGTCATTATACCGTAGTGTAAGGTAGGGTTCCCCGTCCACATAAAGCATGAAACCACCCATGAGCACAAAGAAGCTGTGCGTTTGAGTCCATGTATAATCTAAGGATGCGTATGAGTCAACGTTTAGGCGAGCACGAATCCGGCTTACCTTCAGATCGCTCTGAAACATAGACCTTAAACATATTTGTGAACGGCTTTGCAAGAGTCCACACATAATCTGAGGATGCACGCCAAACATCAGGTATGTTTGAGAGAAACGGATCGGGCTTACCTTCGTATGGCTCTGAAACATAAGTTTTGAGCAACTTTTTGAATGGCTTCAGAGCATGAGTCCCCTCATGTCCTAGGGTGCGCGCTAGAGTACTAGTATGAGCCACTGAAAGAAAACCAGTACAAATAACGGTTCACCTTCAGGATGCGCTAAGAGAACCCGGGAGCTATCTTGATCTTGAGAAGCAGGCGAGTTACGAAGAAATGTATTTGAGGTGCGAGATAGAGCGTAAAGTTGGTGACCTCGAGTGTATTGTTCTGCAGACGCTTCTATGGACCCATGATCTGAGGACGTGTATAATGAGACTCACCTTCAGACTCGAGACGAATGTTGGGATACCCCGATTTCTCAAACTGTCTTGTGACAGAGCGAGCGCTGAACCACTGGCGCATAGCCCATGCGACGATCAGTTCAGGAGCAATAAGTGCCATTATTATGATGCCGAATTGTCGCCGTAGGATACGATGGGGGCTGTCCTTGGGACTCAGGATATTTGGGTGAATCGCACTGTATGTGCACGCAAACAGAGTGAGAACCGAGCTGGACACGATGGTCCATAGGGTTCTGGTCGTCAACGATTCAGAACCGTAGGCTGTCGGGGGTGCAGTAGTACCATCAGTTGCATTCAGTGTTGTATTAGGTGTAGCCTGAGCTTGGATGGCTCCAACGAGGTAAAGGAAGATGCAGACCAGTAGTAAGCGCATCATTGGATGTCACTTGAGGATTTATTGTTACATCATATGCATACCGTTCACTATTTGTGTTTTACTAGCGGGCGTCAATTCAAGGCAGTACGACGGAGAATAAGGCCGTGACCGGGCTTGAAAAGACGTTAATCATCATGAGAACTCCAATGGCCGCACAGGTTTGACACAGGTTCGCAATGATCCTGGCCCGGGAGTGTCGAATATCTCCAATTTGTACAATGATATCTGAAAAATATATGAATCAGCACTATGATAGCATCATATGCCTCGACTTCTAGCACTTGTTTGACATACCTTCTTGATCACCATCAGCGACAGAGATAGATAACAATCTCTGCAGGCAGTTGAAACCCATCAAGCTTCTTCGTTGTGTGATATAATCGTCAATACATCACTGCAGGGGTGATAGATATGCATATGATGGGCTGTGTTGTCCATTCTGAGGCGCGTCCACCTGAACATATCCCAGCGAGGCAACAACAATCATAAACAGAACCGATGGATGATCCCCACCTATTATGTAATACCACACCGATCTCAGTTGACTTCAACATAAATTTCATTAAGTAGCCATGAACAGCATCTTCGGAACTTGAACTCTGCGCAAAATCGAGCATTTAGTTTTCGAATGTTCAAAATCAGTACACCCGGACCTTTAGTAAGTACTGAACATTTTTCTTATCAATATCTTCACACCCCAATTCTCCCTTAGAGTTTATATCAAGTACCTGTGTTTTTTTCCATCAATGCCCAGAACCATCACGCAACCTTGTAACAGCTTTTCATCTCACCCACCTGTTCCAGTCACCTTTCAATAGCCAACCGACTGTGCATGTCTCAGAGGCCGTGAGCTCTCTTGCATACGTCACGGTCCCAACTTTTTCGATGGGCTCTTCGGCCTTGGTGATCAGCTGAGCTGCATGCGTTGTTAATGAGTGATAGCTGTCCAAGGGAAAGATGCTTTGAAACCCTGCAGCTATCAAGGCCGCAAGTTTGATCATCATTTTCTTCGCTAATCAGCGCTGCTTTTTTGATCGAAACCACTCGTTTATGGCGCGTAGTCACACCATCGGGTCGAACTATTGGGTAACTGACAAGTATCAGTGCATACTTTTATTTCTCCCTTCTGTTGACGCATCTGTTGAACTCAGAAGTAGGTTCCGGACGACGTCGATAAGGTTACATCCACCTGATGTCTGGCAACTGATGTTCAGCGGGGCCTGGAGTGTATCATGTTGAGCAGGGTGTGGTTCTCCTGATATTTGCGTGCACGATTGTGCCCTGCACCCAGCTGTGTACTTTGCTTCTTTTATGATTCGGCCTTGGCTACTTGGCGCTCAGCATCTGCTTTAGTAAGTAGTTTACCATTCTACCGGTTGTCCCAGCACGGCTAATTATAGTTTTGGATTGGTATTGGCAATTCACAAGTTTGTCGCCACTCGATCTCGCAAACCGGGTCACATGCACACATGTAGCTAAGTATGGGCTATCTATATCAGGCTCTGCGTTGTGATATTTAGCTTACAGAGGCTGAGTATGGCGAAAATGTAATGCATCCATTGCTCCGTCACGCAGCGTACTTGCAGGCAATATTAGTGGCAGTTGATGTATGTATCCCTGCCTTTTCGCATCTCCTAGTGCTAGTAGTCGCTAATCTACCCACAGCCTCCACTCCTTCTCTCATTGCCATCTCGCACCACCACCACCCTAGGCTATTCCACCATCTACCGCCCTCGCACACATCCGCACATCTTAAGACACCCGGGCCAGGAGTACCGTGTCAGTGTATCACTCATTGGCACCCTCAAGTTGATCGCCACAGCCTATCGAATGTTTACTGGTACTTCAAGAACAGGTCCCAACTAAATGTGTACGTGTAGCGATCATTGGTGTTAGTCTTGCACGCTTTGTGCATATCACAGTGACTCACAGTGACCGTAAGTGTCTGCTTTCTTTGGCGTGTGGATTTCCTGGTCCTGGTGACTCACTACGTTAAAGACGATTCGAAAGTTCTCCCCTAAACAGACTCGTCGCGCATTCCATCACACCGCACGGGAAAACTCACCTTCGTTTTCCAACACCGGGATGCCCTTGCCTTGGTATCACGGGTTAACCTAGCAAATGCCTTCCCTAGTATTTTGGTGCGTACTGCCATCGAAATGCTGGAAATCTGACGCTACAGGGCATACTCGTGTCCTGTCGAGAAACATAGTAAAACCACCGATTCCTTTTCCAGCCTTATGTTCCCTCCAATTTTATCGTGACAACTGCTTATAATAAGGTAAGGAGCGGGTGTTTTACTGGTGAACTGTGTCAAGAACTGTAAAAACGATTTCCATAGGCATCGCCAATCGTACTGCCGCTGGTGCGCCAGCTCCTGACTCAACCGGACTCTTTGTCTTCGTTGAAACGTTTACCGCCTGCGTGACCTTTCTATTGACATGTTATCTGAGGTAAATGACTCAAATGATTCGGGCGCTCTGACACGTGCGTGCTCTTAACAATTTATAGTTCAGTTGACGAGGCCCTCGCATCAAGCACAACTTCTCTTCGCCATGCTGCCAAATGCTCTGGTATTGGCTGCAAGAAGTAATTCTGATCGGAATCTCTAAAGGTGTGAAACGCTTCTGCTGCCTTTAATTGCAATCGCGTTTAACCTAGCATTATGAAGAACTTGTCGGTCGATCAATTAGGATGCCCTATACTTCAGCTGAATTTTCACTGGCAAGGGAGTTGCAATCTTCTTCTCGCGAGACCGCTCTCCAAGTTCTGTCTTATGCATGGGGAGACTATGGTTCTCGCCATCAGTTGCCGGAGGATCTTGGAATTGAGAATTTGATGGCTTATATTGATGGTCTGCTCAATTTGTGCGTTGCCCGTGTTCGCGAGTGGATATCGTCCAACGTAGCTTGCTTCCAAAGCAGACAAGCAAGCATTGTTGAGCTCACAAGAACACTTGAAAGTGCAACAGTAGGCTTGAAGAACAACTTTTGTAAACGATTTCGTCGGTTTTCCAGACTAATTACTGGACGCTGTTTTGCCTTGAGATGCTAACGGAGGTACGAACTTCGCTGTAGCGATTCTGCAGGCTCAATCAGTCATGGAACAACAGAGCACAGAGAGGTGCATCAATCCTCCCATAAACACGTCTAAGGTCTTTAGCATTGCTTTTAAGAACACTGTAACCTTATTTGTGTCGGATGGCGAGTGCTATATTGCGGATCAGACTGTTTGAGATTTGTGTCACTCTGCGGTTCGTCCTGGGTTCGTGGCCTGTTTTTGTGTTGGATTGATATCTTGAGAACTAAGCGAACCATAGTGAAAGCTATCATTTATGATGTTGAATTCACTTGGGAACTCAAGGACTCCCGGGCCGTTCTGGAATCACGTACCTGATTGACCGGTCCATGCACAAACTTATAATACCACAGGTAAGCTTGCATGGAGACATTCAAGATCAAGAAAATATTGCAGGCAGTCTGATTGACCTGCCCCCACATCCGCTGCCACTACCTCAGCTACAGCCGCCGCCGCCACCACCACCACAACTGAATCCGCCGCCACCACCTCCGCAACTGAATCCGCCGCCACCACCACCACAACTGAATCCGCCACCGCCACCTCCGCAACTGAATCCGCTGCTACCACCACAACTGACTGCAGCTCCGCCTGCACAACTAACCACAACTCCGCCTCCGAAAAAAGCCCCTCCAACTCCAACTCCACCTCCACCCCCGCCTTTACCTCCGACTCTACTTCCGACTCTACCTCCAACTCCAACTCCACCCCCGCCTTTACTTCCACCTCTGCGTCCATCTCCACCTCCATCTCCACCTCCCGTCCCACAAACAGCAATATTATGTGAAGTACCGATCGAACAGCTGCCTGCTTCCTGTAAGCCTGATATCAGCACACCTCATTCTCCAAACAAAACAACAACACTCACCGTTGCACACCCCGAACCTCCATTCACCACCGATCCAGTAGCAGCAACGCATCCACCAGGGTAGTACTGAAACAACGGCACAGGATATAAAAACGCAATATCATGATCACCATTCTCATCTCTCTCTACAGCCTTCTCATTCCGCTCTTCCCGCAGCTTCCTTTTTTCTGCCTTGCGTATACGGTTCTCCCGATGACGTAGGCTTGCGGAAGTGTTATTTAGGACAAGCACAGCGTTGTGATCGCTTGGGTGCGTAGCAGCACACGCGTCAGATTTGAAATTGGGAGAGAGTAAGAGCATGTTGCTGGTGGTTTGAGAGGAGATGAGACGTCGGAGCTTTTGGCCGATTGTGTCTCCTGGTAGTGGACAACCGCAGTACATGTAGGGTACATGATAATGGTCCTGCGATTTGGAGTTTTAATAGGGATGTCGAATTCCAAGGAAAATTAGCTTACGTTCCAAGTACGACAGGTGAGGTCGAAGGAGGTCGCGAGGTGACCTTCTTCCACTTTGTCATCGCTAAAAAATGTGTATTTGTTATGTGTGTTCCAGTATTGTACTTGTCAGCACCTACTGATCAACAAATCGTCCTACGAGCGAGAGGCAGTCCTTTTGATACTGACTCGCCATGAGTTGATGAGTATGCCACCCGAGATCGATGTCGAGCGTGGGCACGAGGAATGAGTCAGGAGACTGTGCCATGATGTTTAAAAAGCTGTAGAGTGATGTTCCGGTGATGTCCGTAGAAAAAGAGAAGTAAGCACGTACGCGTGATAGCGAGCTACGCAATGTTGCAGTGCCACTGCGTCCACCTTGTTAGCGAAATATCCTGGCTCGGTCCACCCAAGGTTGACCATCTTCTTCACAAATGAGGCTTGCCGGAGGACCTAAATCCATACATCAGTCCTTGAATATAATCAATGTTGACGGTCTACTCACAGCACCGACCAAATCAAGTGAAAACACCCTATCGTCCGTGTAGGCACCCATTATCTTATTCCACCTGTTCAGTTGAGAAAACGTATTCACTGCAGCAAAAATAGGACATACCATATTGGCTTCAATTGTACGTTCAGCGCGCGACGCATGAGCGCAGTGTCATACCGGACATTTGTCAAGATCTGCTGCGTGCGATCACTTGCCTTGTTCTTCTGGGAAATAACATTCAAGCTGAGGATACGCTTCTTGATCATGATTGCGTGCGCAGTGTCGTAGGTGCTACGTGGTGTATGAAGAGTTCCACTATGTATATGAAATCATATTAGATGTCATACAAGACAGTCAGCAGGACGACACCCACGCCAAATATGTATCAGGCACTTTCGATTCGACTATGTTTTTCACAAACTTGTGAAGGCCGAGAAGTTCTTTAGTAATCGGCTTAGCACATATACAGTTGATGGCAAAGTTGCTCTGGGTATATCCCTTCCCATCAGGCTTGAAGAACGCTACGGCTGGCTGTCAGAATGGATTCCCATGCCATGAAGGCAGAAGGGACATACGCGAAAGAATAGTGCGAGAACAGTAAGGGCACGCGATAGATTTGTGTGTGAGATCCGCAGCAGATGCGAATGGGTCATACGGTGATTTGGTTCTGCGTTCCCAAGCAGAGACGCGTTCATGTTGTGGTGCGTCAGTGGTTAACAGATCAGGGTTGGCCTGGCACAACGTTCAGCGAGCTCGGGACATTATTCAAAGTGATGTGGCGTACGAGAAGGTTAGGAAAGTAATTGGTGAAATGAACGAGAGGTTTGAGCTTGGAGATCCGCGTGGTGTCTTCTGCATACCAGCTGCGGATATGACAAAAAAACGTCAAGTTTGTCATCAATGAGGAATGAGAAACATGCTTGCCTCGGATTCAGGAGGTAGGCATGCCACACCATAGTGACATCAATGGGAGGCAAATGTTGCTCCACTCTATCAGATCTCTTGATCGTCAGACACCACCTCTCAAACCTGTGCTCCACCAGTGCAGTGAGTTAACAGTGCAGGTGCACACAGAAGGCTAGTAAAGCACGCACCGTTCAACAGCCAAATTGACAAACCATACCCAACGTTTCTCGCTGTCCGACTCTAAGCCTGCGATAAGGCTCTCGCTGGCAGCGACGCGCTGCTCTAGGTGACTGAACGCTGCCAGAAGCTGAAGATGAGCCCTGAGTTGATCTGGGCGAATGAGGTGTGGCGTTCTGCGTTGTCCGATGTTAAAGGTCTCTGGAAGAGTGTACTGTGGTGGTTCGGGCGATAGCTGGGGAGGCGTAGCATGTGGGGGGCGCTGCTCAGTCATGTTGGAGACTGCTGTGTGGCTCCTGGCCGATATATACCTATCGGAAGAAGGACGCGGCCGATCACGGAGTGCAGTACGCGTATTTCCTGCTACAGCAATGAGTCGCCTAAAGTTTGAGGCTATGCTGTCATAAGTCACGGTAAAGCCAGGGATGGTAGAACGGTAGTTACCTAGGATTGCCAGCATACCTGTATGCGTACAGATGGAGAATCAAGCATACCTAGTAGGAATATGTTGATTAGGATGTACCGAAGGTTTCTTTGGGATGCGGACTGTTGGCCTATGTCGATGTTAGGTTCTGGCGGGTGTGGGTATCTTCGAAAGAGCATCGCCACCTATACTAGACGGTTTCAGGCCTAACGCCTTTTGCTTACAATATCAATCATTTCGTACCTTAGGCTTGTGTGCGTCACGCCGTCTTGTGACGATCTGTAGAAAGGAATTCTGTGGTCCCTGAATGCCTCGCGCTTGAAGTCAACATTGGAGCAGGTTGGAGCTTGCCTTAAGGCTTGTGGCCAAGGTTATAGGACTTTCCTTTCTCGTCGCGAGTTTGCTCAGACTAATCAAACGACGATCTTTGTTGGAAGGCTGTGCCGCACTAACCCGAATTGATGATAGCCGCCCATCCTCTTATTTTAACTTATGGTACGACTACTACAGTTGAAATGCTCATAATGCATATGCTAACAATGCATAAGTCTCATAATGCATGGACTTTTTTGGATCCCGACGGCGTTCCCATGTAATTGACCGCATAATGCATAATGCATAATGCATAACCTTTGCATAGCCAATATGCATTATGAGGTACCAAATTGATAGGACGGGACAATAGGTACGACAATGTATTGCATAAATTTATTGTTCTGCTTCAGTGGTATTGTCTCATTCAAGTGTAAGTCATCTTTTGACCTCATTTTTTTGGGTGCTCAAGTCTATCACAGTGATCCAACGACTAACGCTGACACACGGCCTCACACGGATCCACTTGCGTGGAACATCGTCCACAAATTCGCAACTACCGAAATGTCCCTTCCCAATGCGGAGAACAAGCTACAGGCTCTTCTTGGCGAGCGCTACATAGATTCTGATTGGAGACCGGCCCTCAAAGCTGTAATGGATGCTGAAGGAGATGTGGAGATGGCTTTAAATGCCATTGATGCACTTATGCAAGCTGCATCTCGTCGTACCGGCCTCAAAATTCGTATTCCCGCGCGCTCACAACAAGCTGCCCAGCTATCTTCTACCGAAGCTGCGCTTATGCAATCAGTCCGAGAACTCCAAGCACGCAATCGCATTTTCGGTACCTTGCCAACTATTGATGAACTTCTGGACCCCGCCGAGGAGAGAGATAAGGGAGAATTCTCTGCTTTTGAAGGTGGTGACTCATCCATTGCAGACACGGTCCGCCACGAAATTGCCGTTGCAAATGGTGAAGTTATCGAGGTTGATTCTGATGACGACGACGACGACGAAGCGGATCCATCAATCACTCGTCAAAATATTCTCGATTTGTGCCAGCAGCTTGAAGTTGGATGCATGCAATATGGTGATCCTCAATTTTCACTTGATTTATCATCACAACTTCGAAAGTTTCGCGCGAACCTACAACGCGAAGAACTACTTAATGCTAGACAAACTTCTTTAGAACAATTCTTCTCGGTATAATACATGTACTTCTGTAGGACTATGGACGATTTTCTGTCACACTTTTGGCGGAGGTCACATGCGTCACAATAGTGTGACACATATGCTATTGCATATGTCTCATAATGCATAACGTTTTGGCGGTCCCAACGGTATGCATTATGAGCATTTCAACTGTACTGAGTACTCTGAGCAACTGAATCCAACCCACATTCTTTGACCGTCCGTCATTCACGACACCGCTAATTGAATGAACCTGGGGCACCGTGGTCAGGGGTACGGTCGCATTATCGGTGCTGCACGCAGTATCTGCTTTACTGAACTAACTGTGTAGGAAGGCGACTTTACCAGCCGATTTAACACCCTTCATCACTCGAACAACTCAAGACCACATTTGCGGAGGTGGATTTGGTGATGTCTGGAAATGCAATTACAATGCAAATGGTATTTCAGCCATCGTCAGTTCACGTGTTAGACTCATTTACTATGCGCTGGCTTACGCCAACCAATCGTTGAACACATAAGGTTGCAGTCAAGGCCTTTAGATACCCAGAGCAATGTGAAGATTCAGAGAGAATACACAGGGTAAGAAATATCAGATCCGCATATATAATAGCACATACTACTTATACCATTTGGGTCATCCAGAAAATTAACAGAGAAATCGGCATTTTGACGATTTTACGCCATAACAACATTGTACCGTTGTTGGGTACAGTGACAGGATTTGGACGGAAGCCAGGGTTGCCCAGCTTGGTAACTCCGTGGATTCCAAACGGCACGTTGAATGCCTACCTTGCATCTAAACGCAAGCATCTAACAGTGCTGGACCGTTCACGTATGGTAAGTAGAATTCTCATCACATCCTGTCACTTACTAGGACTGACTCGAAGTTGGAAGCTAGAGGACGTCAGTGCTGGACTGCGTTACTGTCAGTTTCATGTTTTTTCTGAAGATGTTATGGTAACCTACCATGAGTGCAGTGCACTCTGTGCCTGTCGTGCATGGGGATATAACAGGGGTGAGCACGGAGCTGCTAGGATATATTTGGAAACTAATAAAACTGCAGGCAAATATACTAATTGACGAGGGAGGCCGGGCGAAGCTAATCGATTTTGGCCTTTCCACCGTTGTCGCGCCCCTTTTCGGCCAGTCACACTTGGCTGCAACATCGATACATCCAGGCGCAATCCACTATGCAGCACCAGAACTTCTATCAGATGATGTCAATGTCAATGGTCTACCTTTGGAAAAAACCGACATCTACTCGTTTGGTTGTGTAATGCTTCAAGTGAGTTGATTATTTGGTCGCAAAATATTCACTTGAGGACTTATGGAACAAGATTCTCTCGGGTCAGCACCCTTGGTCTGAGATCAGGTGTCAAACCCCGGAATTCCGTGTCTATGGTTTGAAACGCCAAGGTCATAGTCCGCAGCGCCCAAACGGCCATCCTGCAATAATGGACTCAGATTGGGACATGATTCAAAAATGTCTGCAATCAAAATTTGAACTTCGGCCTTCAGCAGATGAAGTATTCGACTTCGTCACGCGTAGGCCTTGCTCATCAGGTCAGCCTGTATAGTCCGTAGTGCTTTTTTGACCATCCACTCATTTGAGCTTCAAGATTCTTCGAGTCTACCTAACGATTCTGGAGCTTCCCCGCACAATAATTCCAACGGTATAACAAAACACCTGTTCAATAGTCTACGATCCCACCCTGATCATGAGCCGGCGAATGGAATTATAGAGCCTGGAGCTCAGATATCTTTGTAGGTCCAGAACTGCACAGATTCACAAGTTTTGATATTCATTTTTTCAGTCCTTCACCACCCAACACTGATTCTTCGCCATTGTTTCAGAGTGTCAGTACTCATCCTACCACGGCGTTCGACAGTGATTCTCGTAAGTTACATTCATGTCAAACAAGCATCGAGGCGGATATGTTTCATCACCATGAGTAGTTCGATCGACTAGCAACCCAGGACATGAACAGAAACAACCGGCACCACCGGCACCGCCACCTCCAAACTCATGGTCGAGCAACCACGAAGTACGTGCTTCTCGAGAGACACAACACCATAAAGAGAGGTTACTGATTGAATATATCAGACGCGCCTGCGGGAAAGAAATATCGTCATATTTGGCGAAACCGGTTCAGGGAAAAGTTCAATCATCAACACAATCGCACAAAAGCAGCTCGCGAAGACATCTAACGACGCACATGGATGCACTTCTACCTCTCAACGTTACCCAGTAGAATTCTCAGGCCAGCGATTCGTCCTGATTGATACCGCAGGTCTCCGCACGGGAACTGCAGACACAGTGTCAGCGGCAAAAGCGGAAAAAAGGTTGAAGAATCTGTTGCGTGAGCTCATGAACTCCAAGTTGGATGAAATTAGCCTTCTGGTGTACTGCATGGACAGCACGATCGCCACTAGCGCCCTCCTTGAGGCCTATGATAAATTCTACTCTGGAATCTGCCAGAAGAAGTTTCCGATCGTAGTCGTCATCACAGGATTAGAGAAAGAGACCCACATGGAGAGCTGGTGGGATACCAACGTGAAAAAATTCAAGGGCATGTATTTCGAAGGTCATGCTTGCGTCACAACGCTTTGGGAACACACAAGCCTCCCAAACCACATCACTTCAGAGTCGGGCGATATTCTGCGCAAACTTGTCATAGACAATTACGCGGATTTGCCAATTGCCAACGGCTTGGATTCGGCGATGAGCAAAAGCTGGTTCAAGAAGAAGGGATGAACAGCGAACAGCAAGTAAACCGTCGAGTTTAGGAGATTACAGTGGTGTACCGTATGTTACATGTTCAAACGTTCAAGTTCGTCGCCATGCTCACCAACTGACTTATTATGATCATTGCCTCATTCTATGTTCAGTCTCTCGCGCATTATTCTCTTTTCTTTTGCCGCATACGTAATATTGGCGCTGTATTACTGACTTGTGAATCCGACTCGGTGTAAAAGACTTATCGAAGACGATGAACTTGTGGTGTTGATTAACGTTGACGTTGTTGTGGGCGATGATATCAAGATTCAATATTCAAGGGTTAAAATATTGAGAGTATAGCGAGACGGTCACGCGCAGCTAGACACAAAGGTACGAATATCTCAGTATTCGAGTTGAAACTCAGATTAACAAATCGTTGTACCTAGACACAAAGGTACGAATCTAATATAACGTTAGACCTCGAGTCGAACGTTACGAAAATACTAACTTACATCTCAGTATTCGAGTTGAAACTGAGATGTTTGGATGCGGGTACCTGGGCTTATAAGGTGAGTCTCCCAGGTACAGTAATTTACGCTAAGCTAAACTAAAAGATGGACAGCGCACGAGTTGGCCACGACACGTCGACCTCATTCTCCGTTTGGATGCGCTCGCACTTGGTGTCCTCTCCCTTGGCTCTATGCTTCGGCCGGTTGCTGCCTCTCCCTCTCGGCTCTCATCCGTTCGGCCTTGTCTCCTTCGGATTCGTCGGATCCCAACATAAAAGTCCAACGTACGCGAACAAGCGAGGCTCGGCCTGCAAAGTTTCACCGCGTCAACCATAACTCTCAAGGCACGGGCCCGTCGAACATCTCCATTCTTGACACTGAATTGCTCAGCTCAGTTTTGCGGGTACATCCGTATTCACTTGTATTTCCTGATCGAATGACATCCGTACAGAATCGGACAGTTTCGTTCCAACGGATCACGAGGAGGCTATAATCAGGAAGATAGGTCAAGTTCACGACTTCATGAATACAAGACTGAATGTTTTCGGTTGTGTTTTGATGATGTATCGTATGCTGAGACGAGTCTCCCAGCAGAGCCTTGAGTGTGCTCATTTTACTATCAAATAGTACTTATTCGCACACCTAGAATTCCCGTGATCCTCCGACTTCTACAGAGAAAGAGACTTGCCATGAACGTTGTGGACAGGACCTGGAAGAGAAATGGGTGGGGTCCAGTGAAAGCTATACGTGCGTATATTTCCATATTGTCGATGACTGGTCGGCACGATGTAGACGCGGTCCTGCAGCTTGAACGGATCAGTTTATACGATTTTAATTGAGCTGATACGTGATAGGAACGAACGTGAGAGTGAGTAAGGATATGACAAGAAAATATAAGCATAAATACAAATTTCATCTAGTTGGGCATAGCCGGTAGTGAGTGAAGCTCCACTGGGCCGCGATACATATTGTCAATGGGGACGTGCTTCGGCCGCGTGGGTGATTCAGGAGAGAGTTTGTGGAGCAGTGGGATGAGCGTAGCTATTGAAGGGACGTGTAGGCTAAGGCATTGATTGGATGATAGATGCACACCTAGTTGATGGGAGCTCGAAAGTCGAGTGCAGAAGACGCGTCGACTGGTCAATAGGTGACAGTATAAGTTGGTAAGGTCAATAACGGTCTGAGTAATGTAACTTACAAGTACAAAAAAAGAACGTGCTAGAGTGCTAGACGTTGAAGAATCGCTGCAGTTATTGGAGACAGTGGTGATTGCGGCGACAGTACCTAAGTCCATCGTCGACCACACAAATCATGCATCTGAATATCATTAGATAAGTACAAAGTGTATTACAAGGCACTGTGATCAGGAATTATAAGTGCGGCACCAAACTAGTCCACAACACCGTTTGGTATGCGTCAGGAGGAAGATTGCGTAAAGTGGTGAACATCAGTACCAAGAGGACGCCACGAGCTGTGATGTACAACATGATATATGATCCATAGAGCATGATAAACAATGTAAGTGACGCGTCCAGAGCTGCAAGGAGCGGTGCAGTGAGTAAACCAAGCCAGGGCGTGCAAGTTATAGCGACGGCACTCATGCGCCATAGCACCCGTTCCTGGTATGTTGGGAAAGCAAAAAACCAAGCCATGCAATGGATACCGCCAAATATAGTTGCCATAAGTAATCCAGCGAGCAAAAGAACGTGTTTGTGCAATTGTTCGAGTTTGATGCTACCATCAAACGTTGGAACTTGGAGCTCTCGAGATGGGGGAATACCAGGAAAGCCTATCAGTTCTAGCATTGAGCGCAAGACTGGAGCCAAGATCCCAAACTGAGCGATTTTATCTTCTTCACTGACACTGAGGCATACATAGTAATCAGTAGCGGTCTACTTGTTGAAGCACATACATACCCAATGACATACTCTGGCGTCACGATTGACTTTGACTTGGTTGACTTCCAGTACACTGGATGTGGGCATTGCACATTGAGAGGCTTGTCCCACCACGCAGCATAAGTCAGGAAATTGAGAACCGCAAAAGCGAGTGTGCCCACTTCGAGCTGGGTGGTTTCTAGGTGATAGATGGCGCGGGTGATGAGCTGCATAACAAACCAGGCTACTTGAAGGATGACCAATCCTTTTGATATCGCATTGCCTTTGCTCCTGTCGTGGATCTGGTCTGCCGTTAGGATAGGGACGTCGATACGCCTCTGACGTATCAGTGTGAGAATGTGATTTGGTTGTAGTGTACGGCTTGCGGTACGGTGGGGTTTCCCATTCGCATAAAGCATGAAACCACCCATCAGCACAAAGAAGCTGTGCGTCTGGGTCCACGTAAAATCTAAGGATGCACATGAGCCAACATTTAGGTGAGCACGAATCAGGCTTACCTTCCAAACCAGGCTCGGGTTTCTCTGACTTAATCCACCGTGCGGCCCACCTCACAGGAGCACAAAGGACACGCCAGAGAGACACCAGCACAGATAGTATACCTTTAGCGAGCAGTCGAAAGAGGCAAACAAAAGCCAAGAGAATGTCGAGAAGGAAGCGATTTTCAGTTCCAGGTGCTCCAACAGACTTCTTTTCTAAGAACATGTATAGTGAGTTACGAGATGCAGAGTTTCCAAAAGCACGACTCACCTTCAGATTCCGGACGAACGCTGGGATATCCCAATTCCTTGAATTGTCTTGTAACTTGATCAGCGCTGAACCACTGTCGCATAGCCCAGGTGACGATCAGTTCAGGAGCTATTAATGCCATTATCACCATGCGAATTTGTCGCCATAGGCCATGAAGCTGGCTGGTGTGCTTAGGACTCGGGATATTGGGGTGGATGGCACTGTAGACGCATGCAAAAATAGTGAGAGCGGAGCTAGAAATGATGCTCCATAGGGTTCTTGTCGTGAATGATGGTGCTTTAAGACTGTCGTTAGTAGTAGTATTTGTTGTATTTGTTGTAGGTGCGGCCTGGGTCACTCCAACGAGGAGGATGCAGAGAAGTAGTAAGCGCATGATTAGATGGGCGTATCGTAGGCATCCTGTTCACTATTTTTATTTTACTGGCGAGCGTTAGTACAACGAGGGTAGACTGAGAATAGGCTGGTCTTATCTCTTGAGCGTTCCGACGTTCACGAAAACAAGATACGTGAAGCCCTCTACGTGCCTTATTCTTCCCAAGATTTGGGAGCCAAAGTACTTCCTGAGAACGGTAACGAGACTCTGGGCAAACTAAATGTATATGTGAGCGTCTGCTCAGTGTTCTAATCCTGTTCGACTCCAGCGGCAGTTGTCCCAATCCGAAAGGTGCGCGCATGTCCAAAGGCAGGATTTATGTAATTTACCTTCCAGTGTGTTTGCAATCCATCATTTGAACCGTACCCTATTGTAGATGCGGCAGTTTGGATTAGTATCTCAACGAGGTAGAAGAAGACGTGAGTGCATTATTGGACGTTACTTTGGGGACGGTGACGGTATCACGGTATGTTCCGACGACTTACTACTTACTACTTGACGGTCTGTGATGAATAAATTTTGAGTCATTCAAGAGTTGCGTAACATTATGTAAGCTCTATTCAAGGTGGCCACTGTGTACTTATCTTGTGTCGAGTCACTCATCTGTTTGTAAGTGACTAGTAACAGCTATCATGCACATGCATCATGCCTGCAACTCATTCGTTGATCTTGCAGCCGGATCTTGAGGCAGTATAAATATTTTCCATTCAAGTTCTGATATTCGAGTGCCGAGCACCGCACACTTTGTCACTACATAACTCGTCCAAGTCGAGCAAAGATGCACTTCTGGATCCCGGAAGTTGTGCAGCTTATTTTCGAATATGTCTATGATCCCGATCGAACGAAAGAAGACAGCGAGGGTTGCGTCACGGTTGCCAGCTTGGCACGAACGTGTCGAGCATTTAGAGACCCTGCCCTAGATGTCCTGTGGGCTCAGCTCCACTCTTTGGATGCACTCGTTCTATGTTCTGGTGGGACACGAGTCAATGACAATAGTCAAGTAGTGAGCCATCTTGGTTTTCTCTTTCCCCAGTATCACTCGAACAAGCACTTAGGTTTGGGAGCGTCCACTGTACGACGCGGACTGGCGCGTTCTCGCGAGTTATGCAAAACGTGTTCACACGCTGACAGTCTCACCTGAGTCGGATACATGGGATATCAGCACTATGCATATCTTGAATTGTTTTCCTCTTCCGGGAGCCCTCCTTCCGAGCCTCACAGAGTTGAATTGGCTGTCCGATCGTGAAGACTTCTTCCCCTTCTTACACTGTTTCTGTGGATCCATGTTGAAGACACTCACACTTTCACCCGTCGCGTGGAGTGTTCGCAAATGTGTCGCCATCGCGTCGCTTGCACCGTCGTGTTCTTTTCTCGAGCATTTTTCATGCTTTGGCGCAGATGATTCATCGATGCAAGCAATTAGCGAAGCAGTTGTAGGCTGGAAGAAACTCGAAGTGTCAGAGGCTGGTCCTGTGAGCGAACGGGCTTTGAAGCACGCTGCCTCTCTGCACACGCTTCAAACGTTGCGTTTCTCTACTTCATCAGAGCTCACATCCGACATATTGGAATTTTGTTCTCCCGTTGCCTCGATAGAGATCGCAGCTCTCACACCATTATCCTTGCAAGCATTTATGCAAAACGTCCGTTTCTCCATTCAACATTTGGACCTTCGCTGCTCGCTCTACGATGACGTTTTCCCTCACCTTTTCTTCGCGCACTTGAAGGCATGTATGGTACATCCTGAGAAACTCAAACAGCTGTCGTTGTTCGCGGGAACGACACCACAGGAGGATACTAGCAACGAATCAATCGTCCTCACCTCTCTCATGTTGCATCCGCTCCTGTCATTCAAGGGACTCGAACACCTGGACCTCGGACATTCGTGCACAGCGCATATGGACGATGCCTTTCTCAGCAAGTTGGCCCTGTCTTGTCCAGGCCTAAAGGAGCTCTACTTGGGCGACCAGAAGGCCTGGCTCATTGCTCCGTTACTGACTTTTGACGGAGTCACATCTCTTTTGAAGCACTGCCGCCAGTTGTTGTCTCTTGGCGTTTTCTTCAATGCTACTTTCGAAAGTAACGTCGCATACACGGCTCCGGTCGACGCGATCAGTTCGCAAATCAAAAACTTCCTTGTCGGAGCATCCCCCATCAATGAACCTGTAAAGGTCACGGCAGTGCTGTCCTTTCTATTTCCTAGTGCATGCATCAGCCATTGCATTCCGAAGGAATCCCCTGAGCAGCTTCAGGGAAGGCTGAAAAAGTGGGGGTCAGTAGATAAGATGTTTGGGATATTTGTCGCAGCTCGGAAGCAGAGTTGGGAGCAAGGCTGGGCGGAGGGAAAGGCTACGGTTGAGAAGATCGCGATGGTGTAAATATTGATTTTGTGTACTGAACAAATCATCCTATCAATGTCCCCTAGCTCGTAGAAATGCTACATGTCATATCAGAGAACAAAAACCATAAAACATGTGTACATAAATTCATGACATCGGTCCAAACGAGTGAGTACTAGAGTATCCGGCGTTCTACGCCTCATTAATGGCACGTATATTACCACAGAATAATTATCCTCCTTCACAGTAACTCGTCCACTCATCGGTTTCTACGGGCAAGTCTTTTCGATCTTCCTCTAACTTTCCTCTCGCTACGAATGAGACAGGCCTGTCGAATGAGATCCTGCAATTCTTGTTCCGCCTGTTGCTTCAAAGAATCATCTCCGAGTTCTTCAGCTGGAGCAAATGTCGAGAATAGACGTCCGGCGCCATCATACATGATGTATTTCTCGACCCACTGATTGGCAGCTTGGCGATCGTCCAGTCCTTTGACCACGACGACGACCGGCACCACGTTCCCGCGATAGGCTGTGCAAAAGGCATGGAATTTCTGACGAGCTGCAGAAAGCTCGTCAGCGCGAGCGTAGTATATGAGAAGATCCCCTTCAAGCCTCTTCTCGGCACTTGAAGATGAAAAGTCCGGTGCAGGAACGCGGTGGACCTGGTATGTGTCCCCGCCGATGCGCGCAAAGTAAGGCTTCAAGATACCACGGATGCAGGGTGCGATCTCGACTTCTTCGCCTCGAGATGGGTCACAGATGATGAGAGTGGATGGCAAAGACCGTTCGCTATTCCCACTATCGCTGATTAAGTTTCGTACAGCAGTGAAAGATTGCTTAAACCAGCTGTCGTCGACCGCCCAATCGGAGCAATTTTTAACGAGGAGATTACGCAGAGTTTCAGAAGACTCTTCGATGCGACGGGTGAAGACATCCGAGATGCCTGAGTGTTTGCGAAGCGTTGTGACGCATGCGTGGTCTTCGAAGTGCATGCCACGACTCTTGAATTCCTTCCCGTTGGCATCCCACCAGCTCTCCATGTCCGGCTCGTTCTCCAACCCTGTGACGACGACGACAATTGGGACCTTCTTTCGGCAGATAGCAGAGTAAAAAAGGTTGTAGTTCCGAATAAGAGCGCGACGGGCTCTCGTGCTGCGCACACAGTATACCAGAAGGCCGATGCCATCCGATTTAGGGCTCATGAGCTCATTCAGTAAGCTCTTCAAGTTTTCTTCCGCCTTGGCTGCTGGTACTGTGCCTGCAGTGCCCTCGTTGAGACCCGCAGTGTCGAATAGGACAAACGTCTGGCCGGATATTTCGACTCTATGACGCTCATAGGCGAAGGTGCACCCAGTTGCACTGCTGGATGTCCTCGCGAGTTGTGTTTGCGCGATTGCATTGATGACTGAGCTTTTACCTGAACCGCTGTCGCCGAAGATGACAACGTTTCTTTCAAGTGACCGGATCTGCTACATGTTATTAATAAGCGTTTAGGTTATGCAGTTCAAGATGTAGACCACGTACTGTGCTTATTGATGCCTGTGGGGGTGGTGGGGGAGGAGATGGTAGTGGTGGTGGCGAGAATTGTTGTCCCTGCTCTGGGGCCGTTATGCCCCGTTGACTCGAAGCAGACGAGCGTAAGTCGAGTGCCTCCAAGTGGGTTTCAAGTACTATTCTCTCGTAAAGGTCAGAAGGATCGCCGTGGTGATTAAAGCGGTGACCAAGAGTGTCCGATAGAATGCCAGGGAGAACACTAAGCTGATCATCATCAGCACGACATACTGCCAGTGCTTCACGTGACAGATGAACAGCCTCGTAGAAGTGGTCTTTATTGCCGTCTCGTTCAAAGCGTGCATAGAGGTCGCCAGCAAGATTGTCTAGTGAGCGCGCACGACGTGGGTGCTGCGGCGGACAGAGCTCGAGCACAATTCGCCGAAGCGATATGCTCTCGTCTGAAGGATCCCTAGGAAGCGCGTTGCACTGCTCGATGACATATGGCACAGCGTTGGTATCGAATACTATTCGATGGAGATGGCTGCCCTCGGGGAAAAGCGGCAGAATAGTGCGGTAAAGATGTGCGGCCTCACGGAGATCGGCATGGTCCATTTTATAAGAATGACGTTTACAGAGAGCATGGCAAAGGTCAAGGATGGATAGCGGATGATCGACGTGTCCCTGGGGACGGAGTGAGAGGGCGGAGCGGAAAAGGTGGATCGCGCGGTCAATATCATTGTCGATGGACTTGGCGAAACCACATAGGATCGCATGGGCGAGATTGGAGAGTGCTGCGGCGCGGTGTGCATGATCATGAGTACATTGGTCAAGCACTGCCTGAAAACCCTCAATGGCGCTATGGAAATGCTCGCGAAGGTTGCTCCTCCAAAAGAGGGTGTATGCATCGCGTGCTGCATCAGTGTCGTGACCAATCTTATGCTTAAAATTCGACTATATCAGCAGTGGTCGTATGTTGTTGAATAGATAATCTACCTGCACGATACTGTCTCCATCGTAGCGTGGTGTTTTTTTACGCCAAGCCTTCAATTTAAGGGATACATGCTGATTATCAACAGCCATAAGTGATACTTCGGAAGCACTGTCAGGACAACGGCATTGTGAGAGGTGAGGACTCACCGGACTGTCCGTCGTGCGCAAGCAATTTGTCTAA